AAAAGAGGGGAGGGGAAGGGAGCGGGAAGTACGGACACACAAGTCACAACTATCGACGTAACAGACTGAAGAGGGGCGAAAGCCCGAAACGCGTTTCTGTAAGAAGTAAATGTAGGTGATGGAATTATTTGCCAAGTGTCTATAAATGCACCAAGTCGTGACATAGAATCAGAAGAAACAAGAAAAAGAAGACACGGTTTCGACAAATAACTAAAACAATATCATACAATTACTATGGTTGTTGAAATACTGAATATAAATGGGGTTTGCTTGCAAAATCTGCACGGGCAAAGACGCGGGTAACAGCTAGTAAATACATAATGTAAGCATTAATCGTAGTTATTGCCACCAGGTCTGCAATGGTGACAGCAGGGTGGTGAAGAATGGGTCAACATACCCGGAATGGACCATACATGTAAATTGTCTAGGATTTATCGACCTATCCGGGTTCATTCCCGAATCAGCCACTGCAGTAGGCCAACACCTTAACCACTTCAGACATCTGGCTGTCTCATCATGTTCCCAAGATTGTAGGTTTTCTTTAACTCGTCACTTTTTGAAATTTGCATTTTTTTTAGCATTGTGTTCAAAATTTGTTGTAAGATTGCCCATTCTCTGATCTAGGAGGTAGTCTCCTGCAATTGGTGTCAGAGAAGGAACATGTTTCAATTGACTATCACTCGAGATTATCTCTAGATATTTAAAGAATAGCAAGTGAGTTGGAGTCAACAAGGATCTGTTGCCCATCCTAAATGTTCAATTTGACACTGCCTAAAAGTATATCCTATTTATACCAGAGAATACTTATAAGATTATCATATCCAGAAATGATAATCCTCATAGGAATTTCCGGATGGCCGAGTGGTCAAAATGGCAATCTACCTTTCTGGGGGACACGGGATCGATTCCAGGCAGGTCGAAAAATACCCAGGAATTTTTCGGGACGGTGGGCCGTCTGGATACATCAGGCTCTGTCCCTCACCACCCGGCCGCCTCATTGTGGGCCTGGCCGAACCCATAATGGCTAAAAGAGGCCCTCGTAATTCCCACAAGGCGGAAAGAATTAAAATATATATATAATCCCATAGGTATGACTCGCTCCGCGTATGAAGAGAGATCATCCGAAGCATCCTTCGGATGATCTCTCAATCTGAAAACGGAAAAACTATAGTCAACTATATGTCAGCAATAACTTTGTAAAGTTATTGCTAGATAATTGGTGCCAAGTAGAAAATTTATATTACAAGACAAGGTCATAATTGGAATTTAGGATAAACGCCAAGTAAAAATTGCGAAGCACTATTTTTACTTGGCGGTTCGCCGTACCACTCGAGCTATAATAATTTATTTTACGTAAATAAGTATTTTATTTAATAATAAATAATAATAAATTGCGGGTTTAATATTTAAAAACAAAAATATTAATTTCCAAAAATTATGTGGCAACACTAAAGCTTCCGTTCGTTACTCTCAATCTCAATGAATGAAGAAAGAAGAAAAAATAAGTGCTTACTCTTAATTAAAAAACGAGTAATGTAAAATAAAAATTTAAATTTGCCTATTATATTTAATGACTGTAAATAAAAAATAATAGACAAGTACTCGAGTAGAATTTTATAAAAAATAATTCATACATTTAGACAGATTCGAATCTTTAACGCTAGAGGGCTATTTGTTTATAGCACTGAGATTATCAGAATATTCCTTGCCGGAAGTCTTCGTTAATGACGAAACTATGTTATTTTTGAGGAACGAAATTTTAATTTTTTCGTTTCTGTGGCCATTCTAGAACTTTTAAAGGCAAATCGAGAACGTTAAATGACAATTTTTCATCTCAAGCGGTAAGTTTTCCATCTCATCCTCCTGTGCTTTGTTTCCTCTTCTCCATGTTCTGAGTGAGAATAAGAGGAAGCAATCATCCTCCTCCTCCTCCTCCTCCTCTTCGCTTCTTCCTCTGTACACAAATCTTCATTATTCAGTAGAGATCCACCCTCCTAAGAAGAAAATTCTTTTACTCATGGTAAAATTCCAATTCTGAATGAGGGGTTTGGCCTTCCTGAATTTTAGACCCCTAAGCGACAAAATAATCAAAGGAACCATATCCATGATTGTCACCCCCGGTAAGATATTTGCCTCCAAAATTTTCATTAAATGCTTGATAGGCTTAATGGAATGTGCGGCACGACTTCGAAGGTCTGGCGGCCTCGTTCGGTGCCGCACTCGTACCCAATACTACTAATGCGCCGGTAATTCAAAAATACCACCAAGTAAATGGCAATTAATGCTATATTAAATTGTATCGAATGTCATTTTTGTGTTTTTATAGAAACGTAACGAAGATTGCTAACCGATGATTTGAAATAATGTCACTATGGAATCTATCGATACCGTCGACATAAGTCCGGACTTGGAATTAGACGATTCGCTGATCGATGTAGCCACAAAAAGATTTTCGGGAGCCTTGAAAGAACTGCACACCGTCGCCTGTCAAAATTTAATTACTTCGACTCGGGAATGTATTGCCAGACAGTTATCTAATTACTGCGAAGATAGAATCCTTAAAGAAAAACAAGGGAACGGTACGTTAATTTTAAAAAATCAAAAGAATTAAATAAAAAAGATTTATATTTTCTTCTGACCGAATAATTTTATCTACAAATTTAGATGATACTTGCGAGAATGACGATGCAGAAGAATATTCGGACAGTCTTTCTGTCGGTTCTGACACAAAGAAGAGATGCCAGTCGCTAGTTTGCAAACACGAAGGATGCGGGAGAAAGTTTACTTGGCCGGCGCACTATAAATATCACCAGCTCACGCACACGTAAGAAAATAATGCTTAAGAATGTCACAAAATGAACTTTTAAAAAACATTGTGTAATTTCAGGGACGAGCGCCCATACAAGTGCATCGTAGACGGATGCAACAGGGATTTCTTCACGGCTCAGCGTCTAGCGGTTCACATGAGGATCCACACTGGCGAGCGTCCCTTTGTGTGTCGGGAGGAGGGATGCGGAAAGAGTTTTACCACTGCCGGAAATCTTCGCAATCACAATAGGATTCACTCGGGTTTGTAAAAAGTTAAATGGTTTTACTTACTTATCTTCTTTGTTATATTTAAAACTGTTTATAATATTTATAGGCGAAAAGCCATTCGTGTGTCTGGAAATCGGTTGCAATAAAAAATTTGCAGAAGCTTCTAGTCTCAAGAAACACAAATTTGTTCATTCTGGTAAGTTTTAAATCAAATGATGGATAGAACTAATGTACTAAGAGCAAATGTAAATTAATATATAAAATTTGATGTTGGACACATAAAGGTGGCTCCACGCATTCAGTATTTGCTGATTGCCAAATAATTGTGTTCTGTCACATATGTACGCATGTGATTATTTACCAAGCATCAGTTTGTCATGGGAATTATGAATATTTGTCCGAGATTTGTTCTCTTGATTTGGCATAATATAAAACAAGGAATGGGAAACTGAATACCGAATATTGAGTGAAATCACGAGTAAATCATCCACACAACTTGGTATCATCCAAATATTTGCTTGACATTCAGCAAACACCAAATTTGTGGAGCCACCTTAACAAAAATGGTATAGGTTACAGAATTATTGGCAATGTACTCCACCATCTTTTCTAATTTGTCTACAATATGTGTTTGTGAAATTAGCAAAGCATTTTATAGCTTATCGTGCAAGGCAAGATGCAATATTTAATGAGACCGCAACAAAATTTCGCATTAACATTAACAAGTATTAATGACATCTGCTTGATCATTTTCCAAAAACAATTTGTGATGATTAAGCACCATATGGAAATAGTAATTTTTATATAATTTTGTTCAAATCGTTTGGTCAGACAGAAAAAAGGTAGTAGCACTTTCTGGTCTCTAACATATATCGTTAGTTTTAATAATTTATATTTATCTCTAAAGCCGTGGTCACACCATGCAATTTCCAGCCGCACAGGCAACTGCAATTGTGACGGCTGTTCCCATTAACTAGTAAACCCCCTTTGAAAACTGGTGCGCTTGCAACTGCATACAGAAACAAAAAGTTTCTTCTATTCACGCCGATTGCAAACGCCTTTGTGCCACATCATACGGTGACAACATTGAAAATAGTTCATCATTATGGTGGATAGTTAGAGGATTAATACTTTTACAGAATCGAGCTTATTCAGGCTTCACGAATATCTGTGGGATTTAAAATCTTTGATAAAACGAAGAATTTTATTTTTGTGTATTCTCACCAGTTCTATCAAAATAATCACCTTTTTTCTTTTATTCATTCCAGAAAAGGAACTACTTGCCATTTTAATAAGAAAAGTGGCTAAAATTCCATAAATACTCTGAAGTAAAGCATAAAATGTCAGTAAACTCACGATAGTAGTCAAAAACAAGCTACTGTAATTTTATTGGTTTATTATAGGGCCACGTGTTTCCGAGTTGCAACGTCAGCGAACAATGTGTGACCACGAGAAGACACGCGTGACTCGTGCTTGTTGCAGTTGCGGTCACCTGCGCAGCTGGAAATTGCATAGTGTGACCACGGCTTAATAATGTTTTATATGATGATGGCATAACAAATTTTAGCTCTTAATAGTTATTTAAATGCTCATCATACATACTTTGGCAGACTGTTTCACATGAATATAAACAATCTATAGATATAATTTATTCGTATATTTGATAATTAAAATCATATTTACGGAGAACTTTATTTAATCATTTTCGGTAGCCAACTATTGATGGACGTATAAATTTCTTTCTTGGTTATTCTGAACATTTAAAAAATTCATTTAAATACCATTATTTAATCCTTTTCAATTAAATACTTTGCAGGAAAGAAACCGTTCATTTGCGATATCTGTGGTAAAACGTTTTCTCAGAGTGGCAGCAGGAACGTGCACAGGCGACGTCACCAGAATAGTCTGGCACCGGTAGATGGGATAGACGAACATTCAAAGTGTAATAACGAAATCGAATTTGCAGATGCTACTCTTTCACAGAATCTGTTCGAATTGAACGAACACGACAAAATTGTTACGAATCGTACGTCTGATTTGATATCTTAAGCGGTGTAATCGGCGTCGATATTTCTAATATTCTTTATTTATATTTCAGACATTTTCAATACTGAAGATGCGAGTTCAAATAACATGTTAGGTCCGGCCGAAGAAATTTTATTATTTTCAGGTAACCGAGAGATTGTCACGATTACAAACTGTCACCAGTCTAGGGAAGATGATTTCGTTCAGTCATCGGAAATGTAAGATTTTGTTTGAACGAATTTAATTTGTACATTAAGTATTTGTGTAATTTGTAAAAATGATCATTAAAAATTTTTTATAAAATACTCCAAACGTGCATCAAGTTTATCTTAAACACAATTTGTAGTGATGTAATGATTTCTGAAGGTAAAAATACCTTCGTGAATCATTACATTATGATTTACTTTCATCTAGAATTATGGCAAAATCTTATATTATAGACTACATCTGATAAAACAAAAACTTTTCCGGGTGTCATTTGAAGTGCTATATCGTCAGCTTGAATTCAAAACATATTTCTCAAGAATAATATATTTTTTGAACACTATCAATATGTACATTATTGTTTAACACTAAATCATCCTATGCTGTTTGTGCAGACCTCTATGTAATTTCTGTCTTTTTGGTAAAATAAAAAGTGGCTAATAATGTAAACCCAGGGGTCAGTAATGTGTACATGTATCGGATGCACCCTATAGAACCGTAGTCATGTAAGTGCAAATATATATACTTGTAATTTTACTTAATTTGATTTTGTGTTATGTTATATATATAGTTTTAATTTTCATTTTTTAGTTATTACATGAGTGTATAATCTTTATTTTGTAAAAATATACTTATTTCAAAATCTAATTATTTTGTTTGTTTATTAGAATATTGCGATTTTTTTTCAAAAATTAAACTATGTGATGGTTTTTAAAATTTTTACTGTGCCCTTAACCAAAAAAAGTTGCCGACATCCGATGGAAGCAAATTTCTTATTGGCAAGAAGTAAAATTTGAATTTTACAAGATCACAAGACTAAGTAGGCAAAGTCCATCTCTGATTTTGCTAATGAAAAAGTTGACATTCTGCACCACCATAAAGGTTATTGGAAAAATAGTGTAGTCAGTTGCCTTTCCTCTATTGCATCCTTTACAGTTTCTCATTTATTTAGAACAATCCATTAGGAGCTGCTCCAAGTAACAAATAAGGAACAATTAGTTCAACCGGAGAATGGGCAAAATCAGACAACTACTTGTCTTTGACAGAAGAGAATTGTCAATTTGTTTCCGGAGGGAAATTTCATTGGACAAAGATAAGGACAGATTTGCCTTTTGTTACAGATAATCATCGGGTTTGTTTATGTCGTAAGGTATTGCTTGGATTTATGAAGATGCAAATTCATTTAATTGATAAAAACTAATAATAGACAAATGATAAAAATTAACTCTACTACACTTTATTATATTTTTCCTTAAATAACAATAAGTTATAACATTACTTCTAAAACAAAATGACTGTAATTAAAATCTTTTAATATTACTATTGATTTTCATAATTTATATGTTGCTCTATTTTTTGTACAAATTTATTTAAAAAAAGTAAACGATTGTGGGGAAAATAGCAATTTTAATCTTCATTATTTATGACCGATTCTTTAGAAGGAGATTCTCTGGACGTTAACGACGCTCGTGAGTTTTGATCATCGCTCTCCTCCAAAATGGCATTGGAACAGGCGGACGTGTCGTCCTGGTCAGTGGCGTCCGCTGCAGATCCGTCTGGTTCCAAATCTGAGGTTTCCCAGTCTTTGTACTTTTCGTTTAGTTCGTTGATGAAGTTTTCGTCAATTCCCGCCCTCTGCAGAGCCAACTGGTAGCACTTTTCCAGTTGATTCTGCTTGGATATCTAAAAGAGAATTTCATTTACAAACATAAAATTGTACAGTAGAGTCTGCTTAATTGGGCCATTAGTTAACTGGGGCAACTGTTTATTTGGGCCAAAAGGGCACAGAATGGAAACAAACTGATATATTTAATGTAAATTGTGCCATGTATTTGAGATAGTGACAATTGTAATTGAATGGCAAACGGTAGATTGCATTGAAGATATGGCAATATTTAAGAAAGTGACTGAGCAGGATGTTAAAGAACATATTGCTGAAATGTGACAATATTTTGTGCAAGAAGGAAATGCTGGTCAGTATGTACTGTACTTAAATGGTTTTGATGGCGTGCCACAGCAGACTAGGATACTACAAGATAGATTGATGAAGGTGGTAATGCAACACTTTGGTGATTGAAAGATTATAATAAAAATAATCATTCTCTCTTTAATTAATTTATTTTTCAGTAAATACTTTTTATCATATATATTATTATACCCATTCATTAGACTATGGAGTGTTTTTTCTTCTTATTGAGTTAATGTCTGTGTAAATGGATCAAATGGTCTCATTCCCCGATGTGGCCCGATTAAGCAGAATCTATTGTATTTATAAAGAAAAATTAGACCTACTATCGTTTGCATCTCCACCAGTAACGGCCTGTCACGGACTCTCTCTTGCATCTTCTTTAATTCCATTTTATATTCGCACTGTCTCTGTAATGCTGATTTTCTAAGGAAGCATTTGAAAATTTAGAAAATTGAATTTTGATTGTAATTTATAAAATAACATTGTCAAAGTGACACTGCAAGCTATCCTTTGCTTCCACTGGTCAGTGTGCAGTTCATCAATTTTCAACTGGGTGTCACAGCAAACAAGGGTGCTGTGAAATAGATAGATGGAAGAAGGTTACGCAATGCTCGGGCAATCTGCCATGTATGACTACCACCCAAAACTTTCCCTATTTAGGCATTAGACGTGTGAAAACTCCATGCAGCCAGCTCGTCAGTCAAGTGTGAGCCAATGCCTGACTATCAATATTCAGTGGCTTTATCCATTTGGCTACTGGTGGACCCTGGTGCTGCAAAATATAGTGCCAAAATACTTCTTATGCATATTACTAAAAGTACCATACATAAAACACAAACTCTATGTCAGTAAAGAGGTAGGGATGGCGCAAGAAAAAAATGATCAAGTTGGGGGTGCCATTATCAGAAAAAAATCAAAAAAACCAGTGTAGTTGATGAATTGTGCCAATTAGTTTTTCTTCTGCTATATTCTTTTCCATAATTGGGTTAATCATTTGAGATTTTGAATAATTGTAATTTTTACTAATAATCAATTTTATTATTGTAAGTGCCAAACTAAAATTGTAACATTTTAATTTTATATTAGTTGTTTTTGTAGTCAGAAACTCTGGCGCAAAGATTATTTCTTTAACACTTCAAACCTTGCAACTTAATACAAGTGATTTTTTTCCAGTGATTGTAAACATTCTCCAAATAACCTCAAAACTATAGTCCATTCACTATAACTTCATGCATGCTTCCACAGGAAATAGGTCGCGAAAGCAGTACTCTTTCCTAACGATTGTCTCTGAGACTAAATTTATAATTAACAAATGCTAACATTTTAATTACAACACTGCTGCTGCTTCTATAAAGAGACAAATAATATGAAAAGATACATTTTGTAGAATACAATGATGAGGTAGTTGCTTTGCTTCTTTGTTTTGTATGTGAAGTTATAGTGAATGAACTATACCTTATTTATCTTGTCGTAATTAGTATCTTTATGAAGGACATACAAAAGTATTTTTGTGCCATAAGTGCAGTAGTATTGTGAATTTCTGTGTTTGTATGTATATCAATCACTGGATATTGCAGATAACAAAGGCATCTAAGTTTGGAGATGGAAATTTGGAACACAGCATAAGTTTCTACTCATGAATTGCATGGCAATTTTTTAGATCTGTAGTCAGAACAAATACAGTACCTACAAGTAAAATATAATATCTTATACATAAAAAATGAAATTATTGGATGTTCTATATTTCCATTTGCACAAAAAGAAATTATTGACTCTAAATTTGGCTTGCATTTGAAGAACTTCCTTAAATAAACTGATATTTTTGGATCAAAGAAGTTCTTAGAAATTTTGAAAGACAAAATATTCATCTACTAATACAGTCACCGCTATCTGAAATTGCCATCAGGTTGATGGTAAAGCAATAGAGAAATCAGCAATATAGTTTATGTAAATAGATATATTGATATCTGATAGAGTAGAGCAGTGGTGTCAAAGCTTTTTGATTGGAGGCCAATTGTGCATAAATCGTACATAGGTGAGCCACAGATATTTTGTATACTCTGTATATATAAAAAGTTTGGGTACCACTGGTTTAGAGAAAGAATTGTATGGAAGAATTTCTGTACAGATATTAGAAATGAAATGAAACTGAAGTGGAGAAGTGATGGAGTATTTAAGTAATTGGACACTACGATAGAGATTAAAATGATGTTACTAGTGTCTGTAGAAAAAAGACAGCAAGAGAATGTTTATATACCAGACCTGTAAAGAGCCCACAAGCTATGAATTAACAACAACCATTGTTTAATGTAATGGTTCTCAAAGTTATATGGTCTGCAGAAAACTTAAACCGAATTGCAGATATGCCCAATCATCTGTTTCTTATCCTGCAATGGTTCTGTACATGCTAAACAATTTTGTCTATTCAGTAACCTAATATAAGAGATACATGGTGTATAAAAATATTATTTCTTCTGGCCGGGCCCCGTAGAGTGGAATTTTAAAATATGAGAAGGTTAGTCTACATGCAATAGTGCTTACAAACCTGTTTGTTATGTTCACTCAATAAGATTAAAAAAATGGCATAAAGCAGCACTACTAACAGTAATCTGTGGACTGCTGCCAGTCTGAGCCATCCAGTACCAATCCTCGGAGAGATTTGAGAAAAGAAAGCGCATTAAATAATGCCATACTTTCAAAAGAACATACTATAATTTTGATAATTATGTCACTTATCTGAATAGGAATATATTATTATGCAGACATCCTGGTATTTGAACACAATACAATATGGCACTAGTCCTCACCACATTAGAAAACACAATGTTGATCTTACACAATAACTAGTTTGAAAAATACCAGTACTGTATAAAGAAGATAAAAGATATTATGTAGGTTGCAGAAACAAGAATATCAGAACACAGGAATGATCTGTTTAAAGAAGAAGATGTGGAGAGCACATACTCTCAGAGGTGCAAGAAGTTAGGGTAAAATACACACGAGAAAATAAGTAGACTCTATCACTAAACTTATTGAATTTTTTCACGAGAGGAGCAAGAGCATGTTGACAAATTTTACCCAAGACACATACAAAAGTATTTGTCACATAGAGACAAGTAAAATTCTTATCTAGATAAACTGAAGGAACAAGCTTGAGATCTATAGAACAAACATTTTATGATTCATATCCACCAGATACAAATCATAAAGTGAACCTCAATGATGCCATAGAGTTAGGGATAGAAAATAAGACAATGTTAAGTGAAATAAAAAGAGAAGCATTTTAAAGAAATATGAATGCAATAATTAAACACAATGTATATATGTGAAAAACTAATTTCATAATGACACAAAGCCCACTAATGGCCAAGAGGGTAAAATCACTGAATGCTAGTAATTGGTTGTGGGTTCGTGCTTGATCAATGGGTTAACTATGTGGAATTTTCTGAATTTTCTTCACATGTCTAACCCCTAAATAGGGGCCAATTTTCTATAGAAAGTCTTCCCAAATGTAACAACACAACACTTGGGCGGTGCCCAAGTGTTAGGTTGCCTTATTCCAGTGGGCCAAATGAATGGCTAGGAGTAGAGTGACGTATCTGATACAGATTACCCGTGAAAATTTCCTATTGTGTCCAGATTTGAATGTGGATCCCTAAGAATGGAGAGCAGATGTCTTTGCCCATCTATCCACTTTCTTTCTTGGAAATGTACAACTTACTTTCATAAATATTGGAGGTTGGTGTGTTCAAAATTTTAAATTTTGAATTTACGACTTCTTTGTATCAAGAAATCCGAGATAGGAACACGCTAGTTTGTAAGCAGAAATTTAAATGCAAAATTCAAATTCTTACCTGTTTGATCTGATTTTGTCTTCGATGTCTTTCTTTGTATCCGGGACCGTGTCTAACATCTTTAACTTCCAACCATACTCTTTAAAAAAATATTGTTCCTTTTGGAGTTTCTCTCTCAATTTTTGAAATTCATTTTCCATTTCATTTCTCTTAATTTCAATTTGTTTCCTAAAATTCAATTAATTTTCTATAATAATGTAAGAATGGAAAGATATGCAACACTTAACTTATACCTGATATAAAGATCTCTTAAGATAGTTGTTAGGGTTTTTTTTGGAAGTGGATAAGAAGTGGATGGATTTAATGGTTTAGGTGAAAAGCTTTTGAAATTTTTCTGGGGAGTGCAAGCCACGCAAGAAACAAATTTCCTGTCCTTTGTTTTTCTTACTTTTTCAGCAAATCTTTCTGCCGTCTTGAAATGAAAAGGTTGGCACACGGTTGTGGTTTTCTCTTTAAAGATATCGGAATACTTGATTTGTCTATCCGAAGTTTCGTCCACTTTAATCATTCCGAGATCAGAACAGGACTGCGACCTCCTGGTTATATTACAATTTCTCGTGGAAAATGGCAAGGACGATTGATCGAGCATTTTCAAGGCACGACGTTTGATTCTCGCACTTCTTTCTGCATTCTCCTCTTTCATTTTTTCACTTAATGTCTTATTATATACAAACTGAGGTACGGGATTCGCTTTAAAGCTAACTTTAGACGAGATGCCATCTAAAAAATTAGGGGTCGACTGCGATTCCTCTCTACACTTTTCGTACTCCGTTGCACTTAAATTAAACGGTTTAACCATGGCCTTCAGTTTTTGATTACGTTGCTCCTTTCTCTCTTTCCTCTTTGCTTCTCGTTTCTCGACAATTTCTTTATACGATGGTTTGTAAATATTCTCGGGAATAGGGTTTGCGTGGAACTTCGTCACCAGTTTCTCACTCACTTCCAATTTTTCTTTCTTCCTGGTCGGAGTGAGTTGAAAAGGTCTAGGAACTGTTACCGTTTCCCAACTTCCTTTCTTCTCACATTTAATTTTGGTTAAATCATCATCCTTCAAAGGAAATTCTTTGTTCTTTAATGTCTGTTTTATCCTTTTAGTTAGTTCTTTATCGTAATTATCTAACTTCTCTATCGACTTCTTAAGTTCGCAAAACTTAACAAAATCGTCGTCATTAACCTCTAAAGAATTAGAAAGATGGGCTTGATTCTTAAAGGTTTGATTTATCTTCTCTGTTAGTTCTTTATCAAATTTATCTAATCTTTCGAGGGACTTTTTTAACTCGTACAATCTCATTATATTGTCGTCTTCAGAACCGAGACGTCCGTTCGTTTCGTGGGCATCACAAAAGTCCGACCGTCCATCGCCGGTACGGTCCCGCCTCAAATTATCTAGCACAGTTTCAACGTAAGGGGGTTTAAATTTATCAGTTAGTCCATTTTTAGAGGAACTAACGTCCCGAAATTCATTCTGCAGCTTTTTAAGAAGACAAAGATCCTCGCAGTTTGATTTTAAATACTGTAAACTTGGACAATTTTGATTTTGGAGGTAAAATTCTTGATATTTTTGTTCAGAATGATGTTTCTTGTTGGTAATTTCCTCAATTTTGAAATTCATATTCTCTTCTAAAATATCATTGGATCCAAAAGTCTCTTTATATATATTCTTGATCTTTAATAAAGCAGATGTTTGTATTTTCCTGATTTCATTTTCTTTCAGTGAAGTTTCTTTCAATTTTGAAAGACATTCCTCTAACTCTGGACAAACAGAATTTAAATTTTCCTCACAACCAATCAATTGTTCGCTATTTACTTCGTCACAATTCATTCTTTATGTCTCGATTTCTGTCTTTTATAAACATAAATTATTAAACAGCTAAAAAAGAACGAAAATACTAAAAATGTTTGCTGACTTAACAACATGTTGGCTGCGTTTCCATGACAACGCTACCCTGTCACGTTTCAAACATAGATAAGAATTATCTTAGTTATTTTTGATTTTATATTATGTACTTCTTATAATTGTATATTAATAAATATTAACTGAAGATCATAACTGTTAAAAATTTTTTTTTTACAATAAATATGTTGAGTCCGTTTCCATGACAACGCTACCATTTTATTCTGAAATCAGAAATTAATTAATGTTAATTTACCAATTTTAATGCTAAATATTATATTTTTCTAATTAAAAATTAATAAATATTTATTGAAAATAAAAACTCTTTTAAAATATTGTTTTCTATTCCGTTTCTATAGCAACGTTCTCCATCATTTCAATTCCAAAAAATCCGTAGTTTAAACTAGTTTTTATATATTTGATATTAAAACTTACGAAACTGTGTGATAATTTTAATATTTTTAAAATGTATTAATTAAAATTAATATCGAGTTATCTAAGATCTATGACGTCATCCCAGTTTCAAGATGGCGGCCGCATCTGTTTCTACGTGGCAGTATGTTAAGAGGATTTAAATTTGTAAAATAATAACATTTTCATTTGCTAAATTGTAGGAAGACGCCGAGTCAAATGTCTGTGTCAATACTTAAATTTATTTCATACAGTAGTCTAATCATGTTTACTCCTTTTAATTTAACTACTTTAGTTAATAGGAGTAAATTAGTAAAGGATTAAAATTATGGTAATTATTTAATTTATTTGCACACAAATTTTTCTAACAATTGTTTCTTGCAGAAAACTCATTATATCTCCTGAATACAATTTATTGAGTTTTTTATATACATTGCAAAATGCAGTAATGATCGCACTACTGTAAACTAAGCACCGTAAGTTATTTCTCGGGCACTTGTTTTATTTTTTCAAACGCCCATCTTCGGACACAAAGATCTTTGCAAAAATAAGTGCCGGAGAAATAAGATAGGATGATTGTAATTCCTTAAAAGACATTGGGTCGATTTAAGTGAAGAACTATTAGCAAATGTCGATATCACTTTCATACATTTATTACAAACGTTAAATATTTACGCGCCTCCATCGAAGAAATTTTTATAGCGGAGGGCATTTGCGAATATTTGAAAATTACTCCCGGATGCCGGACGGAAGGCTAAAATGTGCGACGTGGTTGGAAAAAAGGGCGTTCGGTCATCCTAAAAATGTCGGGCACGATTTTTCCTCAAGCACAAACTGGAGATCCAACTCCCGCAACTTCCCGTGGGAATTGCGGGTTCGTGTACCGCTTTGGGCCAATTCTTTTTTTCAAGAAAATTTTAATTTAATTAAATTTATTATAATTAGTAAATCTATCACGAGATGGCAGCATAACCGCCTACATCTCGATGAATTACATTTCCATTATGGCCCGATAATTCGACTGTCCGTTTGGATTAAAATTTATTAATTGCCTGCCGATAGACGTATCGCCCCCTGACGAGAATAATAATAATAATAAATTTATTATATAAACGAATAATTTAAATTAATTGATATTAATCACTTTTATTTCGTATAATTTTAATATTTTTAAAGTTAGAAATTAAAATAACAAGATTATAAGATAATTTGACGACGACATTTAATGTGACATTTAAATCACGTGACATCTCGAAAACGAAGATGGCTGCCTCCATGCGTCTGAATACGAGAAGTTTGTCGAGATTGAAATTATATTTAAAACGTAATAAATTCTCCGGAATTTTAAGATTTTTGACTACGGAGTCTCGCGAAGATACGGAATCCGAATGGGACATGGTCATTTCGGGAGGAGGTTTAGTGGGATGTGCCATGGCCTGTTCCATAGGTTAGTAGGGAGGGATAATGGGTTGAAACACATGCAGAGATAAAATAAAATAATTAATTTTTTCTTTAAGGACACGAAAAAATGTTTTCGGAGAAGAAAACTCTGCTGTTAGAAAGCTCTCCGCCTCTTACATTTGCTTCACTCACCGAAAAATACAGCAATAGAGTCTTTGCACTGACTCCAGGAACTAGAAGTCTGTTTGAAAGTAAGTTTTTTGTATGAATTTAATCGAAATATGAGAAAATTATACGCGGTAGAATCCAAAAATTCGGGGACTTGTGTATAGTTTGTTGCCTCGAATAGTTTAAAACACCGACACTTGGCCATTTACAAAATAATCTCTATTGGATAATGATACGCTTTTGCCGGTACTTGTTCTGCTTCTGGAAGCGTTGCCGTGAGCCGTCTTTTACGACTATTCGTAACCCTTTCCGCCGTGTCGCTTTAACTCGTTAGATTACTCCAAACGATGACACCGTGGGTGTCGTTTTGTTGGTGGGAAGAGGATAAAATTGAGGGGATCGAGTCGGGCAAATAAGTGAGACGTGGAAGTACCATTTCTAGAGAGGCCGTGATTATGGACCGACGTGTGGTCGCATTGCTGTGGATATCCACTTTGGCAGATCTCGGGTCGTTTGTGGCAGACGACACTTCTCGTTTGCCATTTCATCCTTGAAAAAGAATACCAAGTGGGGTAAAAGTGTTATGAGCGGTTGCAAAAGATGGCTTATGGTGTGTTGCCGGGTCACCCAAAGAGATTATTTTGAAGATGGTTGTTTGACGAAATGATGTTTTAAATTGTTTGATATAATTACAGTAATACCCCGAACTTACGCAATAGGTGGGACCGAGCGATAACCACGTAAGTCAAATTTGCGTAAGTCGGGGTATAATTTCGCATATAAATACATACAAATAATTTTTAATTGGGGCCGGAGACTAAAGAAAATAATAATTTAGAAAAAAAATGTTTAATAAAATCTTAGATAATACATATGTATAACAAATTATATTATATAATTTTTCACATTTACTTGATTATCACACCATAATTTTAACATTGTTTCCATCTCAGCGATAATACCATGATGTTTACGAATGATGCTTGAATTTAAAGATTAAGCAATTTTCACAGCTTCGAGAACTTTTTCTTTACCTTTTATAATTATTCTGACCATCGATTCCGATAGATTAAACTCCTTTGCCAATTCACAAATTTTCATTTTTGTGTCAAAATCTTTAATAATGTTAACTTTACATTCCAAAGATAAAGTATTTCTTTTCTTGTTTGATGCAGAAGAATCAGTTCTACTTTGTTTAGATGACATAGTAGTGTCTCTTAAGTCTCCGTAGATATAAGAAACACAGAAATAAATAACACAAAATAAATTGTAGATATGTGTCGATTCCGTGCGACACGTCCGAACATGTAAGCCGAACAATTGTGTGGAGGGAGTGAGTAATCGAGAGTTGCGTGGCGCTCAAACAAAAGACAAATCGGCGAGATTTGAAAATCGTGTAAGTCTAGGTATTACTGTATATTAATTAAATTATCAACAATCATGAAGCAGCTAATAGTGAGGGCTTATCAGACCAATGATGGGCACAAATGCTCAGGAATCAAAGTGAAAACATTTAATAAACACAAAAATGACTACGTAAGTATGGAAATGGAAAAATCCAAAATGCATTTTGGACTATTTTATGATAGAAAATAGTCCCTCATCAGTTGGTATTAAATAAAGGATTTAGTATATTTAAAATTATACAAGGTAACGATAAACTTAAAACTATGCCTAAAGCTATGCAATATAAAGATGAAAACACCGCTATAACTGAAGCAGTAAGCATTATCAGTGTAGACAGATGTAATAAATCCTCATAACGTTGCAGAATGGCATGACGTACAGGGTGCTGATACAAAACAGTTACAAGTTAGCCAATTATTGATTTATGGTTATGAACTAAAGTTATATAGACAGATTATGTACATACCAAAAACAATAAGACAACAGAGTTGCAGGTGCATTACAATGAGGTGCTGGGAGTGATAGTAAGAGAGGTATGTAACCGTCCACATCGGTGCACAAGTGGTGACAACATATGATACAATTACAAGTTTACAACAGTTTTTAACAATATATAGTCATAACATCACAAAGATATTTAGTTTATAAAAGATATAATTGTGCCATCCTTTGTCAAATTTAAAACCTAGATTATCATTAATTTTATTAACATTATTAATTTTTAAAATCTTTATATGTTCAAAATATTTACATTTTGTTTCATTTCCATACTTATGTAGTCATTTTTGTGTTTGATTCCTGAGCATTTGTGCCCATCATTGGTCTGATAAGCCCTCACTATTATCTGCCTCACGATTGTTGATAATTAATATAATTATACCAAGGGCTAGAAGCAACTTTTGTAATAATTTCATTATTCTAGATAAATAACTATAAGCCAAATCCCCGAAATTTTGGACCCTACCTACCTTGTATTTCAATTATTATAAAAATATTGAATATGGAAAGGTTAACTCTGTAACAGAAAATGTGTGTTAAAACATAGTGTTGAACATAAATATTTATTCTGTTATAGTACAGTTTGAGTATTGAACAGTTGTTCCCAAAATATGGTTCCTGGACTGCCAATAGTCTGTGAGCATGCATCGGGTGGTCTAAGAATCTATTTGGTTATTTTTCCAAAATATGATTCTATGCCGTTTAGCCAGAGAAAAGAACATTTTTTGTGCATCGCGTATCTCTTGCATTGGAGACCAGATAGACAAATAATTTTGACATGTAATTTTTTGTCTAAGGTGATATTTACAGGATAAGAAGTGGATGGGATCTTAAGCTGTCTATAGTTTGTCTTTGACTGTTTAAATGCTCCATAAATTGATAACTTTGCAACAAAATATCTACTTGCAAATTACTCAACTGAATTTTTTTTTTCTGTTGTATATTAGAGAATATATAAATTTCCGAACTTAAGATGTTACTTGAAAGAAATAAAGTTATTGCAGAAATTTGGGGATGTTTTGTTGAGTCTCTGTCAAGAGATGATGGTAAAATTAGCAAATGCTTTTGAACTTGACAAATTAATTTCTTTTAAATATTTGGAAGAAGAAAACAAGTAAAATCATTGTATAATTAAGTGTATTTATCATGGTTGTATTTACTCACATCATCAAAGATTGTGTAATATTTGATGAACTAAAACAATGATAAATCTAATGTTAAAACTGGTTTATTATATTTTGTCAACAATGTCATCTACGTTAGTGGTTCCCTGCCATTCTTTGACTTGAAACTCACTCAAACTATCATGCAAATGCTATGGTACATTATTATAAATTTTCGTCTATAAACAAGCATTCACTATTATCAGGACTTGTTATACTGGCTTAACAGACAATACAGAGTTTCACAGAAAACAATTTTTATTTAATATTTAATATACCTGGTATATTAAATATTAAATAAAAGAAAAAATTTAGTAAGAAAAGGACATTGAGGCATTTTAATTAAACTATGATACATTGTTCTTAAATATCATGGGATTGACCAATAGATCAATAATAGAGTTAATGAAGTATAGTTTGTTATTTTTTTTATGGATTAAAATAACTTTTTTATTTTAATATTATAATTCTCACAGCACACCAGTTTAGAACTGCTGATATACATATTACAGTAGGATTTTGATTATTTTCGATAATGAGCATGTGGGTACTACCTCGGATAATCAAAAACTTGGACACTAACACAATGTTTGGAGCAAAGCAAAGGATAGAATACAAGAATAGTTATAAAATCATAATTCTGTGATAATTACAATTAAATTTATATACTGTTTTTCAGAGCATGACCCCCATTGTTTGTAATTAAAAATTACAATTTAAAAAACTTTGTTATACTTCCTTTTAGAAGTCAGTTTAAAATTTTGATAAACATTTTTGGTTATTGCCTATATCAATCTTTGGATCGAATGTAGAGCGAAGAATTTTGAAATTTCTTTGTTTGTGTTTGTATGGTAGTGTCCCTGTTATGAGTGATATAACTACATTTGTTTATTCTTGTTTTTAAGGCTCTTTACTTGTTATATTGTCCAAATTTAGGGATCTTTTAGTTTAACAAAGTTTTATAGCTGTAATTTTTGAGTATTTTTTAAATTTTTAGAGCTATTTTGAGTAAGTACAAACTGCTTGGCCAAGATTTGTGAAATGATTTTTTACATACTGGGTCAATACTGCTACTATTCTGTGTTTTCTACAAACTGTTCTGCACTCTTTTGTCTTAGTCAACTAAGTATTCTTCCAAATTGTCTGGAATAAAGCAAAACCTCAGTTAAATTGGTCTGGGTTAATCAAGACACTATTAAAATTTCTATCAAAAATAATAATAATAATAATAGTTTAATGATATCTCTCACAATATTTGAAAGAAATTAATTTTAATGCTGTATGAAGGTTAATAGATCCTATGTGAAGTATCCTATGCATCATTCCGTGAAATGTGAGGAAAGAAATGATTAAACACCATAATTTGGTAATGACAAATGTCTAGTCTCAATTTGTTGCATTGTGTTGTTGCATAGCTTGTCTTCCTTATTCTATAAAGATGGAAAGTGAGTATTTATATAGAGTATCCCGCAAAGGAAAAACAATCAGTTTGGTGAAGTGTTATGAAATCTTACAAGTGCTCAAGTGATGTATTTACAAAGTAAGCCAGAAAGAATAGTGTTTTCATGTGGCAATAATGTAAGACCATGTTGTAGTAAGGAAACAGCAAAAACACTTGAGAACCCAAAGTTATTCTATATTGTCCTTGCAATCCAAATCTGACACCATTAGACTTTCCGATCATCCTCAAAAGTAGAGGTGCGAAAAGGTCGGCACGTTTTGTCGGATGCCGAAGTTCGAGTACAGAATGGATCAAGGAAAACCCAGAAAGTTTTTCATGCACGGAACACAAAAATGGATTGGACTGTTAGAAAAACATGTCACCATAAATAGTGATAATATTGAAAAATGAATATGCATGATTAAAATAAATGATTTTTAAAACTGGTTCCGTATCCTCCTGGGCTAACGGAGATTTTATTTATTAGTGCTCGTATTTTGCATGCAAATAAGCTACAGAGAGTTCTTCCAATCTCGCTGTGTCCTTTTGTTTTAATTCAACACAAATAATCAATATATTTCAAGTTTAATGAAATTTGTGTGTGATTTATTTTTATATCACATAAATAGTTGTACATTTTTGATGCCTGCATTCAAGAAATATATTTTATTAAATGTATCAACAACTTAGTTTTTTCAATTTTTGAAAATATTTATACAGAAGAACTAAATTATTTAGGAATTATTGCATGACAAATTGAAAAAAACCTCAGTAGAATTTTCTAACAGTCTGCTGGATTTTTATCATGCTTTATTAAGATTAATTAGTAACAGTTTGGTTAGAGGTAGGTGGTTGAGCTGCCATTTTGTGATAATTTTTAATTTCAATTTAGAATTCTCTGGAAGAAAAGAACGGCTCGGAGCAGAACTCAAATCCATGACTCTTGCTTGTCATGCAGAAGGATTGCCAGTTATGCTTTCAGGACCTGCATCTGATTTTTTCTTCTAAAACTGTTAATTAGTTGTTTAATTTAGGTATAACTGTATTCGTCAGTCATGGCACTGACTTTTCTTCATATTAATTATAAGTAGAGATTTATTTTGTGTGTGGTTTTGATGCTTGTAGATCTGAGATTCTTTCATTTATTTTTAGCATATTATTTTCAGTTTAATGACTTTGTTAAGCTATTATAAAATACTGGATGATTATAATTAAAGTACTCCCTATTTGATGCTGTCTGAAAAGATATTTAGCAGTCCACGTGCAACCAAATTGGATATGGTGACATTTTTGGATGTGCAGAAGACATTTCCATAAAAACAAGTTAGTACCAAAAATTGCTGCTTTGGCACTTTTGGTGCCACAAGAAACAATAAAGCAGTATCATTTGCATAAGTACAGTATATGTGTTGTGGTTGTACTGTCGAATGACATTTTTATTGGCTGTGTTGACTGTCACCTTACTGGAATGCCCATTTTTTGTGAAGCTGTTTTTTATGAAAACAATAGCAATACTGTGGGCACAATTTGAAAATTGTGTTATTGTAAGAATTTATGCCGAGGATTGTCGACCCCTCAAAGTGTTGAGAGAATGATTGCTCGATTTGAGGAAACTGGTCGTTTGCAAGTTTGACCCCATTGAGGGTGCAACTTCACGAGTTGTTAAAGACGTACCGTGGCTGTTGTTGAACAGTCAAGTTAGTAATGTTGCAGGCTTTGGTAGTGTCGTGGTAGTTGAGTTTACCTTATGGCACGTTGTGGAAAGATACAAAGAAAGGTGATGCATTGTTATTCATTTAAGATTGGTTGCAACTGACGGTTGCTTTCCGCCAATGGGGAAACTCGACCAAGTTTTGCATTGACCATCTTTTCCTGAATGGAAATGGATGTGTTGTGTTTGCAAAAGATCCTGAAGAGCTGCAAGACACATTTTTACCTCAATGGAATACTGGACATCTTTAACTGTCACATTTGGGCCATAGAAAACTCTCGTGTTCTCTAGCAAATTTCACTGCACTTGCGTAAAATTACTGTTTGGTGTAGATTACAGTCACAATTATCCCCGGTCTTTGTATAAGATGAGTGTCTTGTATGAATAAAATGTTGCATGCAGTGCCAAAAGTGCTATAGTAATGAGTTCGGTACTAATTTTTTTACTGAACTGTCTTTGGCATATCCCGAAATGTCAGCAGGCCACATTTGATTGCATTTTGACTGCTAAATATCTCTTTAAACAGCACTGAATAGGAAATGCTTTAATTACAATTACCCAGATGCATTTTTCTCAAAATGCAACCGAAGTTTGTTTAATCATTATTGATGGTCTCACAGTTCCTTACATAAGACAATGAATATTATAAATCAAACACCAATTCCTGTGTATTCTTAAGAGAACAGTTTTTGTGAATTAATTTGGTAACACTATATGAGCCGTTGATTTTGAAAGTAGGGAAAGTGAACTTTGTGAGAAAAAAAATTATTAAAGCTAATTCTTATTAGAAATTAACATAAAATTTGTTTTTAATCAAATCACAATAAATATCTTTTAATATCAGTATAAAATTATTACTAGTAATTTATACCATCAACAATATTTATTGCGAGTTGATTTTGAAAGTGAGACAAGTCCACTCTAAATAACAACAGTGCGGGAGTGCAGCTCTTTGTCACTCAAAATTATTAGAAATTAATACAAAAATGTCACAAGCATAATGCATTTTCAATACATGAAATGAAACGTTAAGACTTCTATTCAACCAAAGTTCTGGAGAAAAGAAAAGAACAAAAAAATACTGGGATGGAGAAACTGTCAATTGGTTGAATATTTTCTGGATAAGATTTTCAAGAAATACACTGTATAAATTGTTTTATAAAACATTTTATATTGGATGGAAAATGATTTGCAATTTAAAACGTTTGCTTTATCACCTAAATGGGCTAGAACAAGTAGTTTCAGAAAAATAGTATTATCATCTTTAAGTGCAAAAACTAGGCATATTACTAAAGAAAAATATAAAGACACGATGGATTTATTATCTTATGTACTTACTACCCATTCAACACGAATACTTTAAAAATCTGCACCATTCAAACTAAGAAATATAATTACGTTCATGCAACTTATTACCGAAAATTTTTTATTTTCTCCGCTTTTTCCTATAAAATTAAATTTATTTTTTGTTTTATTGTAGCTTTTCGAAAAAAGTATGAAATGTTGAAATTAAGTAAATAAACGAAATATTCAATTTTTTATTATAATTACATTCCATTCAAAGAAAACCAACATTTTCAACAAATCATTGCTTTTGAAAGTGAGACAAGTCCATTGTTGCATACTAAAACCATGATTTTTTTCTTCTAACACGGATAGCCATTATTGCATATTAAATTTACACGAAATAAGACCACAAAAAATATAAAATAAATCTATTACTGCTTACAAATATTTTTAAACCCATTCAAACGCAACCCATTAAATATCTAGCAATAACATAAAATGGACTTGCCCCACTTTCAAAATCAATGGCTGATATAATACATAGTACCATACATTGTCAACACATCATCATGTTTATTACTGTATTATTAGTTAAATTACATAATCATCTATATATTAGAGTCCATTATTGTACATACATTGTATGATGGCACTCATACAATGTACGTACAGAATAAATGTACAACCGAAATCAAAGACCAAATGCGTACTAAAGAAATACAGAAACATTTACAAATGATAAAAATAAATGTTTTCTTCTATTTATGAGATCAATAATTCAAATACAAAATCAACGTACCAAAAACCTGTTTCTGGTGTGCTTCAAGGTAGCGATACCTAGAAGCACACTGGAAACAGGTTTTTGGTACGTTGATTTTGTATTTACTTTAACCCGGTGTAGTAAATTGCTGATTCAATAATTAAAAAATATTATCTTTAAGGATTTAATGCTTGGGAAATCATCAAAAATTTAAGATACAAAGAAGTCAAGAGATTGCAGGTATTCGTTTTTAATTAATTTGGTTAATAAATATCATTACTAAAATATGTAAAATATCTCGTGTTTGTTTAAAACGTGCGTAGGTTTGGGAAAATTGTTCGGATGCTGCTATTGCATTCCAACACCCGGAATTTCGGTTGGACGTCGCTTACGTCGTGGAAAATGACGTCATTCTTCGGGCCCTCCACGAGAAAATGAAAGATGCCAAAAACTCGCTAACGGTTTTCAACAACACGAAAGTGACGAAGATCGAATCGCCCAGAGTGGGTGCCACGAACTGGGAGGAAGACTGGGTGAAGTTGGAACTGGAAGACGGAAGAAAAATAAAGACAAAGTTGCTAGTGAGTCAACAGTTAAAAATTAAGAAATAAATAAATCTTTGACCTCGACACGTTCTTTTCTGCAGATTGGTGCCGATGGAGTAAATTCGTTTGTTCGCAATGCAATGAACATCAAGTACATTAAATGGAATTATAATCAGAGAGCCATCGTCGCAACTCTGAAACTTTCGGAGGTACATTGTAAAATTTTGTTTTGTTTGTTTTAAAAATAAATCATAGTTAAGTCTTTTTGACTTTTAGCCTTGCGAAAATAACGTGGCGTGGCAGAGATTCCTATCCACCGGCCCCGTCGCTCTACTTCCCGTAAGTATCTAATTTTAATAATAAAATATGGAAACAATTTTTGAAATATCTTTAGTATATCTAGACTTTTTAATTTGCAATATAAATAAAAATAATAAATAATATTTTATTCTTGTAAATGCTTTGTTTGCTTCCTTTACTTTTTCTCATTGTCGAATGCACATTCAAACAGCACTATTTCACTCTCTACAGTAGATACGGAATTCAGTTGAGTGTCTTTTCATTATATTCCAAGCAGTATTGAGATAAAGACACAGATAGAAAAATTGTTAGTTGTTGAAGTTTCTCAATTGTGAGATCTTGCAGATATAACAAATGCTAAATAGGTAATAAGAATTGGGTTGCTCTTTTTAAGAAATTATAATGTAGATAGTTTTGTTGCATGCTTTTTCCCTTTGAATTAAACTTGTTGGATTTTGAAATAAAAGTTGATAATCAGTTTTAAGATTCACGGAACGGCCACCTTACTCGTTCTTGCTGCTCGAGTCGTTAACAGTAAGCAACGGATGGTAGAATTCTTTGGAAATGACAAAGCATAGAAATAAATAATGCTTATCTTTTGATGTTTTGTTGAGTGCTTCTTTTATTGTTTTTGACACTCATTTTCTTTTTGATCATATTAAACTGTACCAAAAATTCAAGATTTTCCTTGAATTGTATGTCCATTCTTTTCATACTCGCATGTCATTCCATACGTAGCAACTTCGTGGTTAATTGGAGTAATTCTTTTCTCATTTTTCCATTCAGAATCTACGTATAAGGTCAGCCATTTGATGTAGGAATGTCATTTCTACACACTTTGTTTTTTGTATATTGTCCACTTTATAGAAGTAAGTAGATATCTGTCATCTTATAAGTTTGTGCACTTCGGTCTAATGGTTTTAAAAATTCAAAATTTTAGGTTCTTTTAAGAGTAAGCACAAAAGAGTTGGAATTTACTTACTTGTGTTTTGTTGCAGATTAGGTTGCTAACTTTAAAAACCATTACTTTGGTTTTATCAGACAGTATTTTAAAATTAATCATTCATCAAAGTCTGTAATATCTAATTGTCGCCACATGTTAATAAAATGTCTGTAAAGATTCAGAAAATCCAAGTTACTATTTAATCAGTACAATTGTCACAAAAATAAGTTTTAAGCAATTTGTTATATCTGCAGTTTACCGCCGGCAAGACAAATGAAAAAATTTAAGTTAATCACGGCAACAAAACACATAAATGAGGTAAAGGGAAATCATAGTAAAACTATGTTGGAGAGTATGAGCAGAAGGGAACAATGTGGAGGAGTGAGACACATTTACAGTCAATAAGAATTGATTATTGGACAGTGATTTTTTGTTAATTACCATAGTTTTGTTTTTACATTTCTTATTGGGTACTAATTGGTTTGGAAAATTTGTTAATTATCAAGTAGTTATCATTGTTGTTTAATTTTTCACTCTTGTTCATTAAAAATTATTTAACTTTTTTCTTGATATCTTGGTTATTAATGTAGAGTGGTCGGATCTGCCTCTCTAAGCTAAATATAGACTGGTCGGATGTGATGTCGAACTAAATTTGTGCAATTGTTGTGAGTACGGTCACCAATTCTATGTCACTTTACGTCTTACTCTCTGACCAAAAGTAGGTGGTCCCTTTGACGACTCTCACCAGATATTTTGTGCATCAATTGCAAAATACCTGTACGTTGTGAAATATTTATGCCACTAGTTTTGGCTACGAGCTGGGATTTCCAGTCAAAGTTTTTTCACTGATTATCATATGTATATGAGCATCATAATTATTTTGTTAAATTATTGAAACTATAAAATACCTTTAGCAATACACGTATTGCTTAATGGCAAAAATCACAACTCTATAAGTAAGTTGTAGAGTTGGATGACACCAGTATGCTTAAAACATACAAACTTAGTCTGCGTAAATTATTAACAATACGAATATGTTGCCTTCACGCCACTTCAAATGTCAGTTGTTTCCCTCTCGATACACAGCCGCCATTTTGTAAACAAACTTCGAATCTTTGTACGGCAGTAGAGGAAATACTCATCGGTTCTTTAGAACTAAGTCTTAACTGATATCACAAGTTGTGATGTAAAGGAAAATAGTCACATGGTTACAGGTTTAGTTCTGGGGAGTTAGCTGTTTTGTGCAAAGAAGTAAGCCTTACAAATATACTGTTTACTTTTATACCCGTGTCTTTCATTTGGAATAGTATTTATGAATTTCTAACTAATGTTGTTTATTATCACAAATTATTTCAGTTGACCGACACACACTCCTCGCTCGTATGGTCGGCAACGTCTCCGATGGCTCACAAACTTATGAAGACATCCGACGAGGAATTTGTAAATGAACTGAATATGAAACTGGTAAGTTGATCCTCCTTTTTGTAATATAAAATGGGAGTTTAGTAATATATTGAGCTAAACTTTTAATTAGGATTTAAAAATGAAATTTTAGATTTCATTGTAGGTGAATTTATATTATGGGGGTATTTCAACATTATGGTAATTTTCATAACGTAAATTCTCTTAGTGGGACGAAAGCGAAAAAAACCGAACGGTGGAATCCGTGTTGTCTTTCGTAAACGGTGCCATGTCTACATTCTGCCCGGGTATGTGTGATGTTTTATATTAAAAGGCAAATTGTATAAGAAAGTCTCATATTGATGATGATATATTTTACGTAAGCAAAGGGAAATTTACGCCAGCTTCCACCAAGCATCGCCGAAGTGGAAGAAGGTAGTCGCGCCTGCTTTCCTCTTGGTTTCGGTCACGCGTCCGAGTACGCTGTCCCAAGGATAGTTCTAATAGGGTAAAGTATTTTAAATTAATTATTGATTTTTGAGACATGAGATTAAAACAGTATTTTAATATTATAAAGAGATGCAGCGCACAGAATACACCCGTTGGCCGGACAGGGCGTGAATCTGGGATTCGGCGACGTTCGGTGTCTGACCGAAGTACTCTCAGAGTGCATTTCCGTCGGTGGAGATATAGGTAAATTTTCTTATAATAAAATTAAAAAGTTTGATTAAATAAGAAAATTTTTTCAGGTTGCCTAAGCACCTTACAGGAGTATGAACGTCTGAGGCAGAGACACATAATGCCAACGATGGCGGCTATCGAAGGGCTACATCGATTATATTCTACGAATCTTATGCCCGTAGTGTTGCTACGGAGTGTGGGACTCTTATTAACCGACGGGCTGGGGCCCATCAAAGTGAGTGACTGTGCATTTCAAATTCTTTTATAAAAAAAAAAGCCAAAACACTAATATGTTAATTTGCTCTTTCAGGAAAGAATAATTGCTCACGCATCACTGTAGATATTTTAGTTGTCTACCAAGAATAAGATACAAAAAGAATTTTGTACGAAGTTTGTTTTTATAAATATATTTATGTATTATTCAAAATACATTTTGTTTTACAGTTTGCAAGAAATAACATTGTTATATCCTTCTGAAAAAATTGAGACAGCACTGTCAAAATGTAAGTGGACAAGAATTACATTTTGCTTTTTTTTTTACATTGTCATATTGCATAGATGAACATGTTTACAGGTGTTAGCAAGTTTTAGGGAACTTTTTTGTAGCATAGTACAACATATATTCTGGTTCCATACACAATTCAAATACAAAAATGCTGTTTTAGATGACAAAGGATATCTCATTCTGGGAGTGCGATGAATATTTTTTTAGCTTTTGCAAAATGATTCGGTTACAAGGAGGCATCTAGTGACTAAAATCCATAGTATATAATTGTAATTACATATTTACTATTGAACACAAGACTGTGTTATTATTAAAACACTTGGCGTCTATCCACTTTATTCAGTTGATACGGGCACGTTTCGGGCATATAGCCCCTCATCAGTCAACATTAAAAATGCAATGACACTCGTACAGCACAAGTTATTATTCACTGCTGTTAGGATAAGTTGATAACTTTGATATCATAAACTGTTAAGTAGGCGTAACACATCCTTTATCTTCTTACTAAAGTTGATAAATATATAGGCAGAATCCTTTCTAATGATTAATGAATATATTTGGTTGGTTTCTCACAACCTTTCATTTGCACATAACAGAATCAGATAAACCTCACTTAGCATGTAATTACATATATTTGATGGAATTCAGTTAGCACTATATGTAATGCTGTGACATGTTAGTCATAATTGGCTAGATGAGCAAATAAGTTATTGCTTGCCGGTTGCAATACAAACACGATTATTGTAGAAGGACCTTTGTGGCAATGCATTTCTTTGGTGGTTTTTATTTCGGAAAGACGTCTCCATATAAACGAGCGTATCAGTCATATTTTTCTTGGTGTTCTAGCGAAGATAGCATTCTTTAATGTTTTTAATGTGGATGTAAATATGCTGCCTTCAAATTTGCAAGAGAGTTTGATCGAATGGCAGAACAATGTCAAAGCCAAAATTTTATGTACAGGATTTCTATGCACCTGGAAAATCGGAGATTTTCGTTAGTGTTCGGAAAAAGTCGTGAAAAGGTGGGAAATTTGTTTCTTTGTCGACAGTAGTCTGATCAATTGTAGTTGTCTGCTAGCAGCAAGAAGTAAGATGGTACAACACAACTTATGAAAAGGGGTGCAGAATACTTTCAGGACCTTAAAATTTTCCCAAAATTATAGTGTACAAAATACACAAGCATACAATAATATCAATTGTTATGTTAAAATTTTAAAACTGCTATATTAATTATGCAGTATTATAAATTTGAGAGAAAAATTTGAAATATTTTAAATGTTAGTTTATTAACTCTCTCAATTTGAGGGCACGCGTTAATGATGAAAAAAAATAATAAGGTACATTTTCTAAATGAGGTCCAACTAACATTTTAAGACATTTGGTATTTTCATTATTAGAGGAAAAAGTCTGAAACTTGTACACTTACAAGGGAACTGTCGGAGTGTCTTCTAATAAATTTTAATAAAATTTAGTTCATAACTACGTTAAAAGTATACAAACTCTATTTTAAATTTGTAGCATTCACTAAAAGTATTGATCAGAGTTATTAGCAATCAAATGTTGCACTACTTTATAGTAGTTTAACACAATTATGCAAATTTTTAGAAGTGAAAGGGTCGTGGAGGAAGACGGCGATATTACATTTAAAATAAATTCTGGAATTTTCAAAAATAGAAGAATTAATAATAATTATGTTAAAAGTATACAAAACTTTATTAATTCTTCTCCTATTTTTGAAAATTCCAGAATTTATTTTAAATGTAATATCGCCGTCTTCCTCCACGACCCTTTCACTTCTAAAAATTTGCATAACTGTGTTAAACTACTATAAAGTAGTGCAACATTTGATTGCTAATAACTCTGATCAATACTTTTAGTGAATGCTACAAATTTAAAATAGAGTTTGTATACTTTTAACGTAGTTATGAACAAAATTTTATTAAAATTTATTAGAAGACACTCCAACAGTTCCCTTGTTAGTTAGCATCATTTGAGAAGTTTTCTGTAATAATACATTTTCAAAAAGTTATGTATTCGGCCTTATTTGGACACCTGTTCCAAATAAGGCCCTTACATAAAGAAATAATGTATTAAGGTAAAAAGTAAAAGTTAATTAAATTACAGTAAATGTATTTAAACCCAATAAAATACAAGTAGCAGCTTAAACGTCACGCTCCGGGCAAAGAAAATGCGATATTTTCTCTTTCGTCGTAAGTCTAACACATTCTTCGTGAACATATCTTGAACACTGTAAGCACAGTCTTGTGTTGGCAATTTATCTTCTCTGCATAAATAACAAAACCGGCTTTTTTTTCTTGTCGTTCATTTGCTGCAAGATCTATCATGGAAGGCTAAGGGCATTCTCTTTACTCTTGAATCTTCACGAGTCTCATCACCTTTCTTTCTGTATGTCCCTTTTGCAACTTTAACTAATTTAGTCTACCAATTGTTTCTAAATAATGTTCTAGTTACCCCAATTGTTTGGTGATAGAGAGCTGGTGAATGTACATTACCTTAAATAATATCATTTTAATAATTTTGATTGCCTAAAACATTTTCTGATGTTTCAAACTTTTTCCCAGCTTATTAATATTTTATAAAGTTTGAGAAATATATTAAGGGACAGAATTTGTTAAATTATGGCGTTTTTCAAAGCCATAATTTAATTAATTTAAGTTTTATAGTTATGGATTAATAATAGAATTATGGCATGTCTTCTCTACATAAAAGTAATTTATCCTATTTTTTTTTCATAATTGCTGAATTAGTAAAATTAAAAATAATGTAACTGTTAATTAGCAAAGATAACCAGTTAAAAAGCAATAGTTTATGTGCATAGTAAGTCAAGTGATGTTTTATTTTGTTAATGTGCCATACTGTAAGAAATGCGAGGGTCAGGGAAAGTCATAGAATTTAAACAAAAATTTGAGGTTAAAAGTCTACAGAAAAAAAAATTGCTAATTATGGTATTTCTTATGTTGTAGAAAAAGGATTTAGCACCATCCTTCTGTTATCCAAAGGAATCGTTTGCAAATGACCAAAAAATAATTTCAAATCGTCTTTTAACTAGTTATGAATTAAATATAAACAAGTTGGCCTCGAGGATTGTGTTTAAAATTGATATCTAAAGATAATTATTGAGTTGTGTGTTACTGTTGCATTAAAACAAAATAATTGAGGTTATTTGATTTGTTCCGAAAACAGTTACGCACAATTGACAAATAAACTGCGAGCAAAAAGCTGGCGTCATAACAATAGAAAAATTTTAAAAGTCTGCTTTTGGAATTGCAGAACAGAGTTTAAAAATGGAGCACCTAGAATAACAATGCTCTCATCCCAGTCAAATTCAAAGTCAAACAACATAGTTACTGGAATTGTAACAAGTATAATGGTTTCTCAAAGACAGATGTCTAGACTTGCAAATTAAAAAAATATAAAAGTTTCTGGCAGACGTTCAGATAACACTACAATTTTTGGAATATCATTGTAACTGGAGAAAAAAGCCAATTTGTTACTTTGTCTTAAGTGGAAGCAAAGCATGTTTCTAAACTTTTAGATCGTAACAAGATGTCGACCCGAAGTAATTTTAGAGCGAGAACGGCAATGTATTTGCATGGTAATTAGTAAGGGACGTCACTCGAAAGTAACTGTCGACTCTAAATGGTCATGGACACTAACGGTCGTCGACATTTTACATTTTCTTAATGCTAGACGAAATTCTAAATTGGCACGTGGCCAACTTCTATAGACTTTTCCCAAGTAATGTAAATGTTACTAAAAGATAGGTCTAGTGTTGGTTTGGTTTTTTGAATTAGTAACTTTGTTAACAATGTTCCAACAAATGTCAATCTGTTAAATTTTTGTACGGCAGACCCATCTACTACAACAATTGTGGCAGAGAAATCTTTTATGAAGTAAATTTAATAAATTATCATTCTTAATGTAATTTAAGATTTGATTTTACTATAATCTTTTAAGTTGTTAAAATATTTAATGAAAGCCAAAGAAAAACTTTTGGTTCTAGCTCATCTTCATTTGATCCAAATAGCATATCAGTAATATTAGTGTAATATCATGCACCTTGTTAGAAATCCACGGCCAAACTTCTTTTCCACCGGTTGATGTCGGTGATAAGTATTATGATATTTTTCTTGTTGTTCTATAATCATACTGGTATGTTTCTAGAAATTTCCTATAGGGATTGGATTCTGGATTGTAGGAGGAATAGTTGGATTTTTCTCGATTATGACTGGACGAAACTTGCCCCCGGTGATGCTGGAATGGATAAAACTGCCAAATGCTTGTAGTTGGTCCCGTGCCTCACCAGCCATTTGCATTTTCTGGGTTTCCTTTATGTATCTAATACCTAAATGGGTGGATGGGTGGGTTTCCCATAGAAAGTCCTCCCAGGAGACGTCTCTTAACTGGTGTTGTATTGCCATATTTCGTCAAACTTTGGGTAAGCAATGCTAGATAAATTTTCTTCTACTTGAAAGCATCAATTTTCCTGTTTACAACGGTTGAAGAAAGTTTGTCACTTTTGGTGTTAGACAATTTTAAACAAGATTATTTACAAACATTAATGTAAATAACTTGTGACATCAGTGTGCTTTCTTGTTACACTAATTATCAGTGGCAACACTTTAAATGAAGCATAAATACTTAAATTTATTGTTTATGCACAAACAAGCTCAGTCCATTAATAATCCAATTGTAATTTGTTCTTTGGAATTTTCTTCTTCCTTTTAAAATCATAGTTGCAAGTGTCGTGCTATTTTCTACGTGATAAAGTAATCTGGTTTTGTTGACTATATAAAAACTTTCATTTAAGAGGATGAACGTTTCTCAATTTGACGGTCACGTAGAAATGCAAAAGTTATTAGTGGAAGTAGTTGTCAATTTGCCACGCAGTCTTTGTTTAAAATCTGACGACGACAATGCTTGAAATTGTTAAATTTTTTAGTTTCCAATATCATTTAAATACTGATCATCTAATTCTTGAGATACAAATGTTCATTTCCATTTGTATATTTTTGAATTGTTGTTAGATTGCCTCAAAATTTTTCATATTGCAAAACAGTGGACAGAAGCAGAGTGTTTATATTCATTTGTCACCTTGGATGCATTTGGATACATCATCTTGCCTTTCTTTCCTGTAATATAGGTACGACAGCTATATAAATGGCTAAAAATATGTTTACAGGCACGGTAAGACAGTATTTATGGTCTTAAAAGCGAAACAAAAACTAATTTTGATGATGTCAGTGAAGAAATTTACATAACAAAAATACAGTAGAGGCAAAACTAGAAAATAAGTGTGACAATGAATTTTAGATGTGATTTTAACATTGTTGATTTATATAGAGCCCCAAATTGGGGCTGACCATTTTGAGAGACGTCTGGCTGTATGAGGTAGAAAAAATTCACAATTAACATAGTCCATGCAAAGATTCTCACTTGTATCACAAATTAAGGTTTGTGAGTGTTTTAATGTAGAAAATTAAGTCTTGCAATGTCAATTACTGTCACATGCAAAAAAACACATGGTTAATTACTACAAACAAAATGAATAAATTATAATTGTTCTGTCATGTAACATATACCATTCTTGTTTTAAATTAGGACAAAATACCTGCAATTTTAAAATGATTTTATCCCTCTGAATTCCATTTTTTGAAAATTCTATAACCTAAAATTAATGCTTAATAACAGCTAAAATATATAGTTAATTTCATTAAAAAAATATGAATTTTCAAACTAATAAATCAAATTTAAACAATAAAAAATAAAGACAAATTTTATAATATTTTACTAATTAAATTCTTTTTAAAACATTATATATAATAATTATAAAAACAGCACATAAAAAAAAGTATATATTATATATATATAAATTTTGCACAACATTAAACGTGAAAATCGAAAATAGTCTCTCATGTTTTTCAATTTTTTTAATGTCGAACAACGAAATAAACACACACAAATCGGGAAAAGGATTCACTTTCTTTCGTACAATGTAATAAAAAGATACAGGTTTTTTTTTTTTGTTGTTTTTTTTTGAAACATACTGCCTAGTCTACTACAGCCAACAAAGTGTTGGAGATTAGTTTTTTTTTTAAGGCTGCACGGGAATGTAGTACTTAGGTAGCTCAAATTTAGAATTTTTTTGTTTTTTCTATGAGAAGCGTTAAATTCATAAATAAGAATTAATTCGAAACTTTGCTTTTCTTGCGCAGAGATCGTTCGTTCGTAGGAATGTCCGCTTAAGTTCGCTCGTACTTAATAACTGTTCTCTTCTTCATACCTTGCAAAAGGAGAAATGCCTCCACAAAACAAATTATAATTTTTTTTTCTCTTTTATCTGATTTTAAGGCATTCCTACAATAAGCAGTCGGATTTTTACAATCTACGAATGTGATTTCACAATATATAAAAACAATTTTGTAACAATCCAATATAAAATAAGCCATTTTTTGTGTATATATAAATATAATTTCTTAAATTAAATATCTTGCTATATTGTGTATAACATCTCTTTTTTTGGTTGGTTTCTTTTCTTTGTAAACTAAAATGTGTACTAAAATTTTCAACAATTCGAACGTACACCAATAAATTGGCAGTCAATAAATTAAACACACACAATCAATTAAAATTGGTTAACGAGTCCGCCACTGGCCGATCTGTTCGAAGATCCGCGAGGAGAGAGAAGAGAGGCGTGTGGAAAAGATGCGAATTCCGACAGGCACGACTTGCAAATAGGTTACATGGGATCATCACAGTTTTGGTCGTCTCCGGCGACTAAAGAACTTAGCGTTTCGGGAACTAACGTGAAAAGGTGACTGCGGGCGGTCTTCGTGACGCGAGACCGTGGCGAACGTGTTAAACAAAAAAAAAATTAATAAAAAAACCGAGAAAAAATGAGTATCCGTAATGACTAGCAAATTTGTGGCACGTTAACCCGAAACAGGAACTAATTACATTTGGACAAATACCCTTATTGAAAATCCATCTCCAACATTGTCCATATGTTAGAAGGATTACTTATAACATAATTTACATCTCTGAAAGGCAAAAATGTATATAATGATTTTTTTTCATTTTTTTCTAAACTGTGCTGTTTAAATTTACTTATCTATTACAATATAAATATTTTTTGGTGAGCATTTATGGCTCAAGTGTATGCACCATAAAATTTGGGCACAACAGAAGGTCTAGTAAGGATGTCATAACAAAATATCACCTGTACAATCGTGTATATATACAAGATTCACGCTAAAACAATTATATATGCACACAGACTTTTGCCTGCTTCAAAATGCATCACAGATTGTTTGAAACGTAAGAAAGAAACAATATATATATATTTATTATTATTTCTTTTTGAAAATTCTGTTTCAAATAACAAAAGAACAAAAATTTTGTGCACTGCTGGTTGTTTTTTTCTAGCAGATTTAAACTCATTTCTATAAGCACCGTTGTTTCGTAGTGATGCATCTGTGCATATTTTTTTTATACTCACATGTAATTTCTGACAATGCTCTGTTTAAGAAATGCTGCACATTTCGATGATGTGCAAATCAACGAGAGAAAACATTTTGAAAGCCAAATGTAAATGCTGGAGATTGGATCAAAGCGATCATCTATGATAATTACGACGTTGAACGAGCAAAGAGTCGCTCGATATAATTAATTAATACATCCTGACTTGACTAGATTAATGATTACAGAATGAAACAACAGAGAAGAGGTTGTGACAAGCCTGATATTTTCTTCCAAACCGAGATAAAATTCTGCAATATTATATACCAAAAATGATGATTATTATATTCCAAAAGTCGTGAACTAACTTCGGGGTTTGGTTCTTTAATAAATTGAAGTCTCTGATGGCTTACTGTGTTCTTATGATAATTCACAGTTGGCTTAACTCCTCTTTATCAACAAATGATCTTGTCGTAAATCTCATTCTGGAGATGTACCACGTGAAGAATCACTTCCGGTCATGGGTAGATCACTTGGTGATAAAGGACGATATCTGTGACGCCTGTAAAAATATAAATTAATTAAATTTATGGAGCTCCCTAATACGATGAACTTTTCAGTTTTGCTTACCTGATTGGCATGCAGTTATTGTAAGCATTTTCAACACTCGGAAGGTGTAATCCTTCGCAGAGCGATATTCCTTTATTGGAATTCCTTATGATATCTTCTTGAAACATAACCTGACGATCTTTCAGTTGCTTATTTTCACCTCTAATGTGCAGTGATTCTCTGCTTCCTGTTGTTGAGCTGTAAGATCGACTTTCGGCATCAACATTTTTGTGATAATCGTATAGGTGATCGGAATCGGACATGCGACGATGCGCTCTTGGTCGTGGAATGCGAGATTCTCCCCCCACTGTGACGGGACGATGTCTCCTTCTTGGATGACGTAATTTCACTTCTTCTATGTCCCTGTGTTTTTCGGATCCTATCCATTGCCTGCAGGAAGACGGAGATCTTCTATCTCTTGTCTGCTGATCCCAACTTACGCTTCTTATGTAAACACCTCCTGGAGCAGGACGTACTACTCTTCTTCCTGTTCTTTCTGAAGATTTCTTATCTAGTCTCTCTGAAACTTCTTCTCTTGAACTGGAAGTACTTCTGCTGCTTGCAAGTGGAACTAACACTCCATACATCTCTCTACTATTTCTTACACCTGTAGAAGCCGCCATTAAGTCTGGGAGTTCAACATGTTTATCATCAGTGAAACCATTTTGCCTGAAGTCTGACTGCTGCATTCTGTCATCTCTGAAAGCACAGTCCAATTTGAGAGAATTATTCCGATTTGAATCCTGTACTAAAGATTTTGGTCTTTTTTTCTGTTCTTTCACTGCTCTTCGTTTAATTTGGCCTCTCTCAGTTGCACCTAAGGCATGTTTCTTCCAGCTTTCATCAGTGACAGGAGTATTTTCTCTGCTTGTTTCTATCATTCTTACAGGGATGCGTGAAGGAAATAAATCTTCATGAGATCCTAGAGATTCTACCCGTCTCCTACCGATTCCACAAACAGGAGTGCTTTTATCTTTATTTCTCAATTTAAACTGTTCATTGGAAATATTATTTAATGCAACTGTTTCGTGTTTAGATTTTTGTTCATTTGTTTGCAATTTGGCCTGTTTACTATGTATATTTTCCACAATATCTGTTGGTTTGAATACATTTTCATCATTGCTTGCTTCGTTAATACTCCTATTTTCAGCATCAAGTTTTTGTTCATCTTCTAACTCATTAATGGCTTCGATTTGCATTAACTGTTCTTTGAGAGGTGTTCCCACTTCTCTCATCCACAACTGACCTTCGCTACATGGGGGTGGTGTATCTCTACTCATTTCACTTGTTGTGTCTGCTCCTGAACTTCTCATTCCAAGCATTCTAAAAACTTCTGGAAGATCTGACAAAAGAGATAATTTGGACTGGCTATCTGTTCGAAATTTAAACTCCTCTTTAGGGGGTGTTTGAAAATCTTCTTTTGAAATCTCTTCTTCGTTATCTTCAGAACTCTTTGTTAGATCCAATTTTTTATTATCGATGACGCCTGATGCTCTTCTGCTATCCGTTTGATAACCTTCTTCGATTGCGAGGGGTGCATCAAAGTATACAGACGGTTCGTCGAAATATAACTTTGCTATTTCCATTCCTGGACTGATTGGAGAATTCTTCTCTGCTCCTGGACTTTCTAATCCTAATTTTATATACAGTTCAGATCTATGTCTGGCAAGGATTGATTTCTCATCTTGAACTGGACCTTTATCTTCACTTTTACTTGCAGCTGAAATAGATAAATCGAAACTAGTTTTTTTTAGTATCCCTTTTGGACATACATTAGGCATCCTACCAACAGATTTGCTGCTATCTGTTTGCTTGTCATCTGTTTTCACATTTTCAATTTCATTCTTTGTAGACGTGTCTCCTCCTCCTTTGATGTTGCATTCAGAGTCTTTGACATTGGCACAGGCACTATCTTGCTTATCCTGGGCTACATCATCTTGTACAGGTGTGACCATTGGAGATCGCTCTTCAGCAGATGTGTGTAAGTGAAGAGATGGCAAAGAAGCTCTTCTTTCTTCAGTTTGTTCTAAGTTATCAGTAGACTGTTTGGCAGCTACATTTCTTAAAATATCAACTTCATATATATTCTCTTCAAAATAAGCCTGTTGCTTTAATGAAGGTGGCAAACTGGATCTTATATGGAAGGAAATTGTTGGACAGCTCCAGGCTCTTGGTAATCCTTGATTTGATGCTTTTTTATATAATTTTCCCAGTCTGCGATGTGGACAGTCAGAATTTTCCCCTTCTTCTAGTTCCTGGACAGGTGATATGATATTTGATGCAAGTTTAATTGGATGGGAAGTAGCTCTACGAACACACCTTCTAGCTCTCCAAAGCATTCTTTCCTCTATTTTCTTGTATCCACTATCATCTGCATCTTGAGAAATTTCATTTGACAATTTCTCTTTATCTGGTCCTTCTATATGGATTTCTATCTCACTTGGTGTCTTTGTTTCATTTATTGGAATAAAAGCCATAGCATTCGGTCCATATTCTTCTTCTGTTTCAACAACCGGAGCAGCCGGAACTATTTCAGTTCTGCTAGGTCTATGTTCTGGCGAAGTTAACTGTACATTGTCCTCAATTTCATGATCTGTCTCTTCACTATCATCAAATGAAGCTTGCCACTTTGATACTAATGTCATAGCAGCAGCTGCACCTTTCGTAACTTGCTGAAGAGCAGATATGTTATCATCATCTGCCAATGCAAATTGGGTAATTGATATATCTCTGTGACATCGTGCTCTGGCCATTGGATAGAATCTACGATGTCTATGTTCCCTAGGTGCTTGATCACATATCTCTCTGTGAAATTTCGGTTCAGTAGGAGGCGTACCAATCGATGGCGTTAATTTACTGGGCTCGCTATGTGGTGGTTGTGCTGTATAATTATTTTGATAAGGCTGATTAGTTTCTTCAACACGATTATCATCATCCTCATCTTCACAGTGACCATTTACTTCTCTCTCCTTTTTCACAAGGTTTTTAGCATTTTCATCCTCTTTAATTCCATCTAAAATTAATTTTTGTAACTCTTTATGAGTCTTCTTCTGAGTAGAAGGAGACCATTCAGTTTTCTTTACTTTTTCTGTGGCAACTGCAACATCTACTTGATGAGGAGGATTTTCCTCCTCTCCCTCTGCTTTACAAACCTCATCTGCTTCTACTTGTTCTTTTTCTTTTGGTTCTTCTTCTTCCTCCTCTTCTCCTTCAACCTCCATTTTCTGTCATATAAAGAGAACATTGTTATCATTTAATAATTTAAAACTTTCACCTTTTTCATTTATTTTAACCTACTTTAATTACCTCAACTTTAGGTTCTTCCGAAGGTGTTTTCTGGCCTGGATGCTCTTCTATCACAATATTGTTATTATTTTCTAATATAACTTGCCTAGATATTGCTACATGTTGCACATTATCTGGAACTGTGCCAGGCGAATAAGCATCAGTATTAAAATAAGTTTGTATTTGTGCCGTAGGTTTATTGTGAATGCACTGTTCTTCTTTTGTTTCTTTAGCTTGTCCAGTGACATGATAGCCATCTTGTTTATAATTCTCTCCATGATCTTCATAACTAGCCATAATGTTATCATCAAGCATATTATCCGTGCCATGCGTTCCCGGGGGAGCAGTTCTGTAACAATGCCAAGATGATCAGGATAAAACTATAAATTTAGAATTATAAAAAGTCTCAAAACTTACCCAGGATGCAGTGGCTTCGATATGATGGCAGGCGAAGTTGTAGTGGTGGTAGTTAAAGAGTTATCTATTATATTCTTCTCCCAATCATAAGGATCGCAATCTCTCACACTTCTTCGTTTCATGCATCGCTCAAACAGACCTGCCACCATATCGTAATCCGGCCTATCATAATAATCTAAAGATGAAATGTGATCGAGAAACTGTCGAAAATCTGATGGAAGATGTTTTAACAGCAGGCGATGATCATACTTCTCTTTCATTATCCCTACCTGTTAATAAATCTAATATAGTCATCATTTTTAAAATAATTCTATGTAAAAATAATTTACTTAAGTTTTAATTAATAAATATCTCTGGTATTATATTTTTTATAAATACATTTAAAGAAATAGAAATCACAAATGAACTACGTAAAATTAATGATAAGGTTTTACAAGGGGGGGTCTGATATTAAAGGTACAAACAAAATTACAATAAATGTCAACTATACTCCACACATCAAATCAAAGTGTGGTTGGCACAGAGGAATTGGGAGGTCCTGCAACATTCTCCATATAGTCCAAATTTAACCCCCCATCTGATTTTCATTTATTTGGACCTTTAAAAAATTTTTTAGTGGGAAAACACTTTGCAGATCAGGAGGAATTGGAAGATACTGTTCTGGACTACTTCAAGCAACAGTACCATGAAGGGATGTTTAAAGTAGTGTCATGCTGGAATAAATGTCTCAATGTTTACGGTGATTATGTCGAGAAATAAACAAAAGTATGTAGTTTATGTGGAATGTATTAAATATTTTTTTTAATTATAAATGTTAGTGTAATTTTGGTTGTACCTTTAATATCAGACTCCCCACGTATTTACACTTTGAAATTGCTTCTTTCTATTGTTTGCATCTTTATTGTCTAAAAGTATTTGAAGTTTTTACATTAAGAAAATCAGACCAAATGGGATATCAATATTCATAATTGATAAGTTTTAAACAAACCTGTTCTTTGTCTTTGATTTTTCTCCAGGGCAACTGTCCATTTACAAATTCTACGAGCATATAAAATAACGACCAGAGATCATCGTGTCTTCCCATTTCCTGTTTAAAAAAATTTAAATAGACATTTTATTATTATAAATAAAAGAAGTTTTCTGAAAAGGTATCTTTGTATTGTTTATATTATAAGATGTATACAGTATACATCTTATAATATGTATACTGTAAAACTTAAATTTGATTATCTTCACTGCAAAATACTTTCTTGCTAAACTTAAAAACTTATAATATTATTAATACATATTTGTCAATATTGAATTAATTTTTAGGGAGAAATCAATTATAAATAGACATTTATTTGATATGTTACTTGAGAAGCAAATTATGTCCTGTTTCATATGTTCCTTATTAATAGTAGCATAACAAAGACAACCAGCATAAGATAAAACTGCATAGAATGCATAGAAACTAAAAAATTAATATTAAATCCAAAAAACCTGTGGTTTTATCACACACATTAAGTCAACAGGGCAGTGGTGATTTTCCAATAAAGAGACTAAATTAAATCAGGGTTATCTCAAGCAGATCCTCTACAAATTGGAACCACATCAGGCTCTTACAGTCCATTTAAGTATTTAAAGCCAGTCTTAACTCCAATTGCATAAACTCTGATAACTTACAATTATCCAAAGCATGGTGAGCATGGTATGAAACATCATTGTAGCCTGGGTGATGTAGTATGGCTCAATGCATTATAAAGTCCTATTTCAGGGGCATTATGCAAGATGGTCCTAAGGACTGTAGAGAAAGCAATCTTACTGAAATATGCAGTACACATTTTAGTATATGCATGCTATGTTGGCGATGTCTTGATTATATGGAAAGAAAAACCAGACATTCAACAATTTATCAGAGACGTCAATTCCAACAAGTTTGACCTAGAACTTGAACTAGAGTAAGAGAACAACAAAAGTATACATTTTCTAGACATAGTAATAGAAGTAGAGAAAGGAGGGAAAATCACTACAAAATTTTACAAAAAGGCGACATATAATCCACTGTTTATACCATGGAACTCCCCTGACCCAGCAAGCTATAAAATAGCAACGCTCCAGCACTTATAAAGAAAGCACACATTGCAGCAAACTACAAGACAGAATTAAAGAACTAGCTAGGCAGTGTGATATTTACCAGAATACGATAAAGGCCATTATTAACAAAACAAGAATAGACGATAACTAAGTTAATGAGCAGGAAAGAATAAAAGAATACACTGTAATGGAATATATGGCACCCCTAGGCAATATTTACAAAGAAATAAAGGCAGCAACAAACAAAAAGATAATTTTTAAAAGGAATCCCACAGTATACCAAATGCTATGCACAGACAAGGAAGACATAGACCAGAGCTTGATTGCAGGAATATATAGAATACCAGTACAAGACGAAAGGTGACAAAAAGAGCTATACTAGGAGCCACAGTGAGATCGTTAAAAGAAAGGCTAAAAGAGCATAAAAGGAACATGCAGAATGAGCACACTAGCAATGTATGTTATAGCAGATCCGACATAAGTCATAGTGGATTGGGAAAGAGCTAAAATAATACAAAAGATCCAGGACAAGAGACACTTGAAATATGCAGAAGCATGGCAGATATATATGAAACCAGGAAGGATTAGCAATAACCTTCAAAGTGTCCAGTAAAGACTCAGCATCTTGGAGAGTGGGCTTAATTTGAATATTCTATTATAAAATAAAGGGAGGAGCAGTTAAAGAAGCAGGCACTATGGTGTCCTTCTATTAGCAATTGTGTTATGTATTTTTGTATTTATTTACATATTTATTTTAGTTATATATTTATTTACTTATTTATTTTATTTTATTTATTTAGTTAGTTATTTATTCATGTATTGTATGTATAGTTTATGTGTATATTGGTACTTGTACCAATCACAAGCAGATTGGAATTATTTATGCAGGAGCCTGTGCACTAGACATCTAAAAAAATTCAAAAATTTAAAAGTTCCAGAACAAATGTCGTTATATAAATAGGAATCATTCAATTTTCTGTTCCTGACAATGGCCATTCAAACTGGCCAAAAACATTAGAAAATTTGAATAAAAAGACTGCAATTTAAAGGTTTTTGTGTCAGGGTTTAAGTATCGGATCTTATGAAAAAAAGTAGAGAAAAATCAAGATGTTGCTGATAATTGAGATTAAGGTCAACAGGAAAGCTAATTGACGATATTTTGCCAAAAAGAAAATGTCCATATTTAATAGTGTTTAGCAATGAAGAAAAAATTAATATTAATGTTCAATTCTTTTGATTGTAACTGTTAGCTAATTATTGTTTGCTTTAATAAACATATTTCTCTTAATTACAAAAAAAGAATAGTACACTTTTGCTAACTTCTGGAACCTAACTCTGTGTTTTGCACTTGTCCTTTGTTTCATATAGCACAGATTTGCATAACACAACACTATTTTGGAACCTAATTGCCATGTTATACTGGGATAACTGTATACATAATACTTTATAGACTATAATTTCATGGTATTTGAATTAATTATTGCTACAAGTTTTGGAACTAGAAGCAGGCAATATTGCTATAAAAATTATTGAAATTATTTAATTTATTATGATAAATATAACCACTCAATTATATAACATTAGATTATAATTAGAAATATTAACCTTGTTCTTATGGGCATTTATCGAGGCGTAACGGACGGTTCCCCTGAATCCTGCGGCCGCTCTCGGCGGACGTACGTCTCCGGATGTCGTTACATACTGGCGAGCCAATCCGAAGTCTAGCATGTATACTTTTCGGCAGTTGTGAGGTAAACGTCCCATAGCAAAGTTGGACTGTAACAAAGTTAAAGATTTCTTTAATTTCTTAATTATATACAGACATAATTAGATTAATCAAAAAGTAGAATTCAGAAAACTATGAAGTTTTACAGATGCACAGATATATATTTCAACTGACGACAAAGAAATCAGTCAATTTGATTGTTGATTTTAAATGTACCAAAAGAGAAAGAAATAGAATGGCAACCAGTCATAATCACATCCCATATTATTTATGCCACTCTCTAGTTCTACAGCAGTGTTTGTGGAAATCCATTAGAGACTATCCAAAAACATGAAAATAAATACATCCAGTTATTGTAGGATTAATTGAACAATACCCAAATTACAAGTATATCGAATTCTCAGAGATACTCTGCAGAATCTAGGGTCCAAAAGGCAATTTTGAGAGCTCAGTAAATGTTTAATTTATAAAACATTTTTATTTTGAATGTGTTAAAAAAAATTGCAATATGTAAAATTATTTTGATTTAATTTCATCCTTTCCTCTTTTATAGCTGTAGTTATTTGTCAAATTGTGAGAAGTTTAAATACTGAGCCAAAAATTATGAAGGGAAGCTGCACAAAATAATGATTTCTCAATTCCCAAGTTTCAATATTTGTCATGACATATTAAAACAATTTCCACTAAAAATAAACCACTGACTAAATTTAAAAATCTTATAATATATCAACTTTACATTTACAGAAAATATAGAATTAGCTGTCAAAAAATTTTTATTTTGTATCATTAAATGTATATGAATGTTCTTGTTCTGCATCTGAATATTCATTTATAATCATAACAGTGAAAGTACTTATTAATTTTAAAGACCGTAATTAGTGTTTTATTAAAATTTTTTATAAAATTTGCACATTTGATTATACAGTATATAACAAAAAATAAATTAGTAAATCAATAATTATTCATATACAAAAACTAATTTAAAACTTTTTTTATGCTGCAGATTATAGGCAAACCAAAAGATTAAGAGTTTACAACAGACAAAATTATTCTATGGTGTATTTACAAACAATTCTGACAAAGTAATTGAAAGAGATTTTATAAATAAAATCATGTAAATTGAACCAAAATAAATATAAATCGTGGAAGAAATTATGTTAATTACAGACTGTCATTGTAGCAGCTTAAATGAGAATGAACAAGAGAATTAATATGATTGGTATGGAAGCAGAAAAAGTATGGTTAGGAAAAAACAACAACTTTTAGCATTATTTCAAATATTATAATCTTATTTAAACAGTAAAATAGATTCCATTAATACTTGGATTTTGAATCTCCACAATATATATATGCCAGATTTTTGGGCTATAATTAAGTTTGGTTTGATAAGATGTGGCAATGCAAATCTGGGCAATCTGCCCCCCATTTAATTATTAGACAGGTGAGTAAAATGCAGAAAGCTCCATGCAGACAGCTCTCCAGTTGGGTGAAAACCAACCACCAATTATCAATGTTTGGTGGTTTTATCCACTCAATTACCGTTAGGGACCATAATTAGGTGATGCATCTGCACGGTAAGCGGAAGTTCAGGCTTCGAGCCCAATGCAAATTGATCTTTTCTTCCAGAATATTCAAAATTAATTTATAAATCATCACTACTGATGACTAACTACTTACTTTTAAACCAAATTAAACAATTTGATTAATAAAATTGGTATATTATAGCCCAAAAAAATCCTAAGTATAGAAATTTGGATATTAACAAATTTATTCCATTAGCTGGAATGACGCATATGCATTTTAATTGTCAAAATGTTAATGTTAGGTAGGTATGCACATATCTATTTTAGGTTTTTAAAATATGTTCAATCTTCAGTTAAATTTTAAGAACGTTCTTTGCATTCCATTTGAATTTTAAGCTGATGATCTAATTCAGGAAGAAAACATTTTGAAGCCAGCATTATATAGTTTTATGTAAATAAACTATTTCCAATCTGTCAAAAAAACATACCATGATTCTTCCTTAACTATAGCATCTAATCGAATCAGCATGAAGAACTATCAAACTATCAACATTTTATTCAAAATTGCAAGTACAATAGAGCCTTGAAAACTCGGCCTAATGTGGATCGAAGGGTGGCCGAGTTTGTGAAAATGCCGGGTTATCGGGAATGGGGTTAAAAAAAATAAGTATGAGTGTTTTCTCAGAAAATACTGTACTCTACTTGTATGTATTGTTTACTTGAAAATACAACAGAGAATAAACTGCCCAAATATCCTTAAACAAAGGAAAAGTACGTCCTTTACAAAGGCATAGAGCCTTTACTACATGAAAATGAAAATTAATGAATACACTGTGTACAGTAATTTACCCGATAAGACAGACCTCAGAATAATACTTTATGAGAGCTTTTATATTTTTATAAAGCTGTCTATAATGAAAATTAATTAACTAAGGATTTTTTTGTCCTGCCAGGGTGTGGCCGAGTTATCCGAAGTGCTGGTTATCGAGTGCCAAGTTTTTGAGGCTCTACTGTACTTGCAGTTTTTGAATAAATGTTGGTTTTAATGCCATAGGACAGTATATGTTACATCATAACATTACACTAGAGAATTTTCTACATTTGTATTCTTATTTAGGTTTATTATAGGAATAATAATAGTATTTTTCATATAGTCAGGGAAGTCACCTGTTTTCTAAACAAAGTTATATATATTAAGGAGACCAGTTAGTGCTATATTGTTGAGATTGTGGAGAGTTTTATGTGATGATATCATCGCCAGAAGTATTAGACTTCTCAGCAGAAGTAGCCTTCTTTTAGTTGAGATGGTTAAAAAGATTGGCCTGTTGAATAGGTGTTGCTGTGGGAGATGATGATGATGTGAGTACTTTACATCTTTTTCAATCTCCAACACCTAATTATTCTCTCTCTTTTTACTGAATCTCTTATTAATCTAATACAACTAGTCTTTATTGACCTTTATCTCACTTGAAATAACTTTATTGTTCCTATACATGCCTAAGTATATCCTGTTTACCAAAATTAAATCTATCAATACTTTGCCTATGCTATGTTTTTACTTTACTATCAAGCATTCCTCTCTTTTTTTAAAATAACCATTTTTAATTGCTAAACTGTTTGCAAAGACTGAGTCTAATGCTACTTCTCCCTCTTACCTCCAAACCCAACTCATCTATGAATGCTCTCATATCCTACTTTATCCTTACCTATGTGTGCATTAAAATCTCCTCCTACTGTTGCTATCCTTTCATTTCTAGCTATACTTTTGATGACCTTGTCGAATTCATCCCAAAATTCTTCTTTGTTCCTTATATCTAAATTAACCTGTGGTGCAGAAGCACTTATAATACTTAACGTTACTTCTCTCTGTTGTACCTTTTCATGAATTATTCTGTCATTAACCCTTTTAACTGATACTATGTTATCTCTAAATTTCTTGTCTAATGCTACAATTCACCATTCCTTTTTCTATTATCCTCTCATACATATACAGGTATACCTCGCCTTACGTCAGTAATTAGTTCCAGGAGAGGTGACTTAAGTCGAAAAACGACGTAAGTCAAATTTACTTGCCTCCGAATTTATTTGTCACTAGGCTAAACCACAAATAACCATTCTGTATTTTACCACACAAATTCCCAGTTCTGTATTTTATTTATAAATGCATTTTTAATAATATATGATTAATAAGAATCTATTTTAAGCTTACAAACAAATAAATTTTAGTTTTTAATATANAGTTCTGTATTTTATTTATAAATGCATTTTTAATAATATATGATTAATAAGAATCTATTTTAAGCTTACAAACAAATAAATTTTAGTTTTTAATATAGTGCAGGAAAAAAGTAATCTAAATTTATGAATATATGTACGGTACATACATACTTGTAAATATACATGTTTACAATTCGGCGACGTTTACAGTACATCCCGGACTCTATTTGTAAATGTGGTTTGCTCTAAGATGATATAAAATAAGATGATTTTGTAAGGTTAATAACAAATACAGTTATTAATTTGTTTTCTGAAACTGTGTTTTCGTATTTATTGGCTATTGAACACAAGACTGTGTTATTAATTAAACACTTGGTGTTTTCCTCTATTCAGTTGATACGGGCACTTTTACACATTTCGGGCACTTTGCCCCTCATTAGTCAACTGATAAGAAAGAACATATACAATATTGGATTACTACATTTTCTAAATTAAATAATACAAACTCAATTCAAAAACATGTATATTTTAAAAACGTACCATTAAACACGCAATGTATGCAATGACACTTATACAGCACAAGTTCACATTCTCTTTACTGGGAGGATAAGTTAACTACATTAACGCTATAAAATCTACGTACATCTGATTAAGCAATAAAACACTATATAAATATACAAGCTTATACGGATATAGAGCAAAACCATACTAAGTTTGATCTAGTGCTGTTTCTTACTGTTAAGTAGACACAATACATCTTCCATCTTCTTACTAAAGTTGATGAATATATTGGCTGATTCCTTTCCAAGATTGATGGATATATTTGGCTGGCTTCTTTCAATTTTTCCTTGGCACATAACAGGATCAGATAAACTTCACTTAACTTAACCTATTATAACAAAATTTATTTTTGGTTCTTTACACAATATTGAGCTTGGCTGCTAACTTGCATTTTTAACTATTTATGACAGTCGGAATTTACATAATATTTGGAATAGCCAAATTTTTAAAATATACATGTTTTTGAATTGAGTCTGTATTATTTAATTTAGAAAATGTAATAATCCAACATTGTATATGTTCTTTCTTATCAGTTGACTGATGAGGGGCAAAGCGCTCAAAATGTGTAAAAGTGCCCGTATCAACTGAATAAAGAGGAAAACGCCAAGTGTTTAATTAATAACACAGTCTTGTGTTCAATAGCCAATAAATACAGTTATTAAAATTATTTTGCAATAGTAAAAATAATTTATGTTAAATTTACTAATAATGACAGTAGATATTGGAACTACCGTGGAAAATGTCAATATTGAACTCTTAAAGACTGCTAAATAAGACAACAATGCAGAGTCACAGATGTTTTCATGTTCCGTTCTCTAGAATTTATAATGATTATATTAACATTTACTGTAAATGTATTTTAATATGATTTTATGCGCTTTTAACACTGTTCTAATGATATTACGATTTCAATATTTGTGGTGGACAGGCGTAAAGTCAAATAAAATGACTTAAATTTGATTTTTATTTTTCCATATATTTTTTTGACAAACAATGTATAATCGAGAACGATGTAACTCGAGGTATATTGTAAAAGCCTTACTGTCCTTAACAATAGAAGTCAATACAGGTAACCTCGAGGTATACCTGTATTGACTTCTATCTTTCTCTTGTGTCCCTTAATTTATTACCTTTCCATATAGTTTTCTGTACTTAATAGTTATAGGCATTCTGATAATTTTCTTAAAATAGATTTTACCATATATATTTTTGTAATTTATGATTAATAATGCTAGATGTAAAATTTACTACAAGGGGTACTTTATAAAGCCAGGAAAAGCTGTGCATGACAAGCTAGTTTTTGATAAATCAGAAGTTGAAAATTTTCATTATTTGGATAATTTACATCAGAAATACCTAACTTGTATCATATTTAACTAATTATGTTACAATTATAAGTTATCATCTTTATTGACTTATAAATATATTAATGTGTAAGTAAAATTTTTTCACAAATCCAGTTAAAATTAAGTATAAACATTTTTTAATTGAAAATCTAAAAATGAATACAGTGGAACCCGGGTTAACGAACGTAATCCATTCCACGAGTCCGTTCGTTAACCGAAGCAATTTTTCCCATAGAAATTAATGTAAATACAATTAATTCGTTCTAGCCGTCAGTATTTTTGTAATTTTATTTGTAAAATGGGTTTTCTTTGATTCTTTTAAAAAAAACGGGACGAACTTTTGCATCAACCCAATATAATTTAATGTCCACATGTTAAAAGCAAAAACACTATTGTTAAGTCAGACCAAAGTTCAGGGAGAAGTAAGGAAAAAAACTGTACTGTAGTTGTCAAAACAAACATGACACGAAAATGAATGATGTAACGGATCAGGTGGAATGTCTGCAGGAAAGATGAAACTCTGACAGAAGCGGTCATAAACAGTCGATCTAGGTTAAATTTTCGGAAAAGAGGAACGATTTGACGGATATAAAAACATCGTGTACGATTGTTAAAGTTCTAAAATGACAGATAGCAGAAACAATAGGCTAAATTATGAGCGAAAGGCTTATAGGTTTATCAACAATCTCCGATCAGAGTCGACGAACAGGTGTCAAATAAATGCCTCGGAACAAATCTTTCTTGTGACCTGATCTGGTTTCGGTTTTCACCTGGAGACAAAGAAGAAAACAATTGGGAAGCGAGGAATGGGATGCAGGACTAATCGTAAGGCGAGATTCAAGGAAGAAATACTATAAAAACCCCAAATCTCAAGGACAAAATGCAGTTTTCCTAAAAATTCTATGGCGATTAATCTGTGACATCTTCATCTGGATTAAGCCCGAAGTTGTGCACGCTAAAATTTGTGTTGTGTCTCGTGGACCGCTCCCGTCGTTGCAGCTCTGTCTCCTACTATCACTTCTGTGATCAAGCGAACCCATCTCATCCGCTCTGGTGCTACAGCTGATCGGCTTGCACTATCGTAGGACCAGTGATATGCCACTCCTCAGTGCCAGGAGAAAATACTGTAGATAAGCCATTTCCAACCACCTCAAATATGTAAGCATCTTCCTGTTCTAATAAACGATTTTCACTGTAAAATACTTGTAATCTTTGTCTCCTCTGCCACCACCAACATACAAATGGACCCTAGACCATCACCGACACACGATTAACTGATTCCCCCCTAAAAGTTGGCAAACTTAGAAATTTGACACAAAAAGCCGTTAAGTTCATTATCTGAGACAAAATTTTTGCAAAATAAAAGTTCGTTAACTGATATGGTCGTTAACCAGGATGTTCGTTAACCAGGGTTCCACTGTATTAAATATATTAAAAAAATTTTTTAAATCATTTCATCAAGTGAACTAAAATACACATTTTCCAATTACTGTAACATCAGAAGTCAAATAAGAATTAATCAAAATATCATCAAAGACATAACAAAAAACTGGAATTTTCATAATCTACCATTTTGTTGTAATAGTATCAGATATATAATTTAAAAAATTTTTTACATTGTCATTTCAAAAACTCATTATGTGCAAATTTTCTACATTACATTGTAATACAGTAGAACCTCGAAAACTCGGCCTAATGTGGACCGAAGGGTGGCTGAGTTTGTGAAAATGCCAGGTTATCGGGAATGGGGTTAAAAAAGGATAACTATGCGTGTTTCCTCAGAAAATACTGTACTGTACTTGTATGTATTGTTTGCTTGAGAATACAACAGAGATTAAACTGCCCAAATACCCTTAAACAAAGAAAATGTACTGTACTTGTATGTATTGTTTGCTTGAGAATACAACAGAGAATACACTGCCCAAATACCCTTAAACAAAGGAAAAAACGTATTTATGAAGGCATAAAGCCTTTACTACATGAAAATGAAAATTAATGAATACACTGTGTACAGTAATTTACCTGATAAGACAGACCTCAGAAAAAAACTTTATGAGAGCTTTTATACTTTTATAAAGCAGTCTATAATGAAAATTAATTAACTAAGGATTTTTTTGCCCTGGCAGGGTGTGGCCGAGTTATCCGGAGTGCCGGGTTATCAAGAGCCGAGTTTTCGAGGTTCTACTGTAGTCTGAAATCTATTTATGATGCTATTGAAGAAAATTTTTCTTGAATTTAATCTATGTTTAGTCTAATTTACTAATTTTCTCATTAACTACAAAATTTCAATTTGAATTCTTTATGGTTATGACTTGTCTAATATGGTTTTTTTTTTAACTGTAATCAACTTCAATTTGCATAAGAATAAGAGGTTAAAAGGATTAAAAAGAAAAAAAATCCCACTTTGATCCAATATTAACTTGCAATTCTTAACTTAGCATATTGAAATTCATCTGCTAACTCTCCACTTAATTACATTTCAAACTTCAAAAAAAGTTTTATAATACATTTACAGCACACTATTCTACATGGGCACATAGATATTTGTGAAAAACTGTGTTTTGGAAGACACATCATTGAAACTTGATCTTTCGAACCCTCATGAATAAACACATACTACTAGTTCATTACCTTGAAATAAGTTGTTTCAGTTTGTATTCTTACATATCATGGGATGATATTTGAGGATTGTACATTGTTATACAAATGAAAATATTTATAATTATAATTTAATTTTAATTTTTTTTAGATATTATCATCAAGTAGTACATGAAAGCTAAGCAATACAATTATTTATTGTGTCATTGTCACAATGCCAGGCTGCAATTTTTAATCATATTCTTAACTTATTCAATTTAAAATATATGTTCTCCATCTCAAATTTGCAGTGTTTTGCTCTTGTACATTATACCTTTCCTGATAACAACAGTGTCATGCTGGTCATCCATGTAAATTCGTTCAAGGAAAAAGTTTCAAATCAAATTCTGTGACTTCCAGTTTAGACCAGAAGTTCATTTATTGGGGCCTCCTGCCCCTAAGTTTTCCACATCTGGTCTTGACTTTCATCTAACGTCATTCTTCGAGATTAAGGAAGGACAGACAGGTGACAGCAGGAATTTATGATATGATAGTTGTTGGTTATTGAGCTACAATTTTTTCAAATTGCAGCCCAATAACCAACAACTATCATACATCATATAACCGATATCAATAACCATCAACTACCATACCAGTTCTATTTTTATTGGATCACAAAACAGTTTTAAATAACCTAAGTCCTTAGTACTTTCGATAATCTTTGGCTTATTTTTGAGGATTTGTATCAAGCTTTGACCAACACTTAAAATAAATTCCCAAAGATGAGCCAAGCAGCCTTGAAAGTCCTAGGAACTAAATTATAATCCAATAATTGATTAAACAATCATAAATCATACTTTATATTATTTAATAAATCTTATTTCAGATGTAAAAATTCTAATTAAAACTCCGTATATGTATTACTTACAGGTTTAATGTCTCTGTGGAGGAAACCAACATCGTGTATACTTTCTATAGCTCTTAGGATCTGTAGTCCTAAACGCAATGTAGTGCTTAAGCTGAAGGCACCACGAGGCTGGCTTCGTCGCAGTTCTGCCAAGTTTTTCCCTTGAAGCTGCATGACCACATAATTGAATCTGTCGTTACGTCCGCAACCGATAAAACGGCACACATGCTCTTTACCTGAAAGGCAATGTGATATATATATATATAATATTTATTTATTTTGTTTTTATTAAATTAGCTGTTTTTGAAGTAAATTAAATAAATATAAAATAATTCAGATATGCATAAATATTGTCAATTCTTATAGAAATCAACAATGATTTTCTTTTATGTATATGTTAGATCGTCAAAAATTTAATTTGTAGGTAATAATATTGCCAACCATTGAGTCTGACCCATCTTAGAGTGCCTACGAATTATCGTTTAAGTTTGGTGTTAGCAAACAAACAATATTAACTCATTTAGCTCAAATCAGTAAAGTGAAAAAGTTGGATAAGTGGGTTCCACATGAACTGAATAAAAAACAGAAACAAAAGTGTTTGGAAGCTTGCTTGATGTTGCTTTATTGTCACAAATCTGATCCATTTTTGAATTAAATTGTCAGTTGTGATGAGAAATGGATCTAATGTGTTTGGTGGTCTAGCTCAGGTGTGATCCATTATGATTTCATGAAAACTGGATCGTCAATCACAGCAGAAATATACTGCAACCAACTGGACGAAATGATGTAAAAACTTAAAGAAAAACAGCCTAGATTGGTCAACAGATCGACTCCTATCTTATTGCATGATAATGCTAGACAACACACTGCACAAATGACTGTGGCAAAACTACAGAATTGGAGTTGGAACTTCTTCATCATCCTCCATACTCACCAGACCTAACCCCCACTGCCTACCACTTCTTCCACAATTTGGACAACTTTTTAATAGGAAAACAATTTAATTCCAACAATGCTGTAAAACTGGCCTTCCAGGAATTCAGTGACTCTCGTCTGTCAGGGTTTTATACCAGCAGCCTGAAGAACCTGCCGCTTAAATGGCAAAAGTGTATAGACAATATGGGTGCATACTTTGATGAATAAAATAATTCCTTATATTTGTAAGATATCAACCAACTTTGCCTTTTTTCCCACAAATTTCATCCTTAACAACCTGATATTATCAGTGTCTTCACAATTCATCTCTGGTAAGAAATTATATTGGTATATATTCTCATAACAAAATTGATTTCTTCTTGATTATCTCCTCCTTAGTTCAGAAAGTGAAGGTTTAAAAGAATAACATTTCATAATAATAATATGCTTTTGAAGTGTAAAAGCAATCTTGCAACTTCATTTTCTGAACTAAGAAAGAGCTGATCAGGAAGAAATCAATTTTGTTAGGAGAATATGTCGCAATATAACTTCTTACCAATGAGATACAATGTGAAGACCCTGTTTATTTTTTTATTGTGTTTCTTCTACTTTCATGAGTTATAATTATATTAATTTTAAAATTTTCATAAAATTAGAAGGTTGTGAATTACATTTCCACAACAATTTACATTTTTAGGCCTCTAAGTTTTTGACAACCCTATTTATAGTCATGATCTTGAATAAACAAATTTAAGGACTATTAAGTTACTAGTTTAGACTCCAGCAACAGGTATAATTCTTCAAAACAATGATCATATCTATTGTTGGGCCAAATCAAGCTTGTTGGCATCTAAACTGGTGATGTCTTATGCAGTTTTGTGAGGTAATAACTTTGTAAATTTAAGTTTTTGTAGTGTTGTTTCTATTTCAAAATCATTGAGATTGAAGAAATTCAGAAAAAAAATATTTAAAACAAATTATGAATAACTAAGTGCACCAATGTAAATTATGAATAAAACAGATTAAAGTGATTTTTATTTAATGGGATTAACATTGTCAACTATAAATTATTTTAGTAGTATTTTTTCAGTTTTAGTAAATCCAAACTAACAGTTAACATATATGATAAGAATATATAAATTATATTCTTATCATATATAAATATATAAATCACAAAAGTATAATTAACAATCATAAACTCAAATGATTATATCTTTTTAACTGAGACCCTGATTCAGGCAAATAATTTACTTTATTTGGATCAGTTATGAAATATTTACAATAATATTGAGTTATAATACAAATCCAAGATAGGCGATGCTGTCTACTCCAAATGGTTAGCGTAGAATGAAAAAGTCTCTCTCCTTGGAGTCCAGGAATAAAGTGAGGGCAGAGGGCAAAGGTCACATGGTGGCACCCTCTGCTCTACAGTATCAATTTTGAGGAGGCGGCAAACATTTTGCATGCCTGGCAGTCCTTTTTTGACAATCCCGACAACATTAAAAAATAGGAAATTAATTAATTCACTTACGATTTTAAAATGTTTTCGTTAATTTTTGTGTTAATTTTTTATTTTAATTTTAATGGTAATGTTAACACCATGTGTGATTTTTGTTGAATACTGGTTATAAGGTTTACACTTCTGACAATTTTAAAATATTTAAATTCGAACATCCTGCATTCTAATTCTTTCGAACATTTTTGACCTGATGCAGATCCTAACTGGATTGAAAACGTTTGTCACAACCTATTTATTTTAAATATATTTTTGTGCTGGTGTTTTTTGAAGGTTTTGTGGTGTTATTTAATAGTCTATAACCAGCTTTGTGAAGATTCAGTTATCTACTTCCATCTACTCACTACTTAATACATAAAGAATTACAGATTACAACAATCGCAACCTGTGAAGCAGGATATACGCATGCAAAATTTAAATATATCAATAACTGGGTACATATGTCACTCTTCCTGCCCACAGCATTGAATGCAGAAAGACAGAAGATTACATTTATAACTTCTTCGATTCCATACCTAAGGACTATTTCATTATGCATCACCAACATTTTTAAGAAATATGGGCTTATTCTTCCTTTAAATCACATATAACCTTGCATAGGTTATTTCCAAGTAAAGTTAATTTCAAATATGATTTTATTGTTTGTAGAATGTTAATTAACTTGTGTTAAAGGTGATTTCTTTTAATAAAGGTAAAAAAAACAGAATACAGGTAACTAAAGTTTTAAAAATATTATATACCATTATTATATTTATTATAAGAAGCATTTACTGTGTTAGCCATGCTTACTGAAACAAAAAAAAACCTTGCAAATAACCTCTGCAACAAGAGAGATGTATTTTCCTCACTAGAAAAATTGGGAGTTTATTTGGTTCCACTACAACAGCCAGATAGCGATGCAAATATTTTTACATCAGGGCCACGACAAGAAAGTTACAAATCCATCTTACTGAATATCAGAACAATATTCAAAACAAGTGCACTACAGAACTTTCTAGGAGTGAGGTGGAAAGAAATTGTGTGCTAAAATGGAATGAGACTTCACTGCTAATGCAATGTGTTGACAAAAAAGTTATTTTTATCTGGGAGCCATTATTTATTGAAAGGTTGGAACTCTGTAATAAATCTATATTGGATCTCAAAAGTCTGGGTATCACTTTTAATAAGTTTGGGCATTAAATATTTAGGTTGTCATGGTATTACATATTTACTGTAATTCTAAATTTACTAACAGCATGTAAATGTTTATATTATCATTGTATCTAATCTTATTGTTAATTCATAGTAATTTATCTGTATGTGCATGCTGTTCTCATTCCTATATTAGTTTAAATTTAACTTAGAAAAGTTGAATTCCATTTTGAAAATTTGTATTCCATTTTCAAAAATTTAATATTCCATTTTTTTAAATTTATCTTAATGTTCAAAGTTATGTTTTTTGCTTGAAGATGACATTGATAAAATGTCAAAAGTTCTTGAGGTATAATAAAAACTGTTTAATGCTGATAAACAGTAGTTATTTCTTGTTTTAATTGATGACAATATATATTTTATCAATTAAAACAAGAGATATCATAAAGGAATCATATTACAGTTGAATCTGCTTAACAGAGCACAGGATAGCAGAGCAGTCCATTTAAATGATTGCCATGTTGGTGGAATTTTTAGAGCAATAATCTACATTAGGAGCATTATTTTAAGATAGATTTATAATGGTTTACCTTTAATCTTATGATACACCATTTCCCAAGGCACATGGTAACAGCACTCTGTACACTGTGGTTTATGTTATGTGAAGATTTGGTGAAACCTTCCATTGGTCAGTCAAAAGATCTTTTACAGAATCATAATGAACAGGTTTTATTGGATATGCACAAGAAGTAATTACATATTAAAGAAGTATCATAAAATATATGTGAAGAAACAGCACAGGTGACATAGGCTCTATATGTCCTAATCTTGATAGAACAAGAAGTGATTAACAACCAGATTTTGGACATCACTTGACCTTACTTGGAGGTACTGTACCTATTTGTTTTTATACTATATGTCCCATTAGAGAGCATTCAGAAATATTAAATCAAGGATGTTCATATCTTTTCAGCTACGCCACCTACTGTATTTCTGGGAAAAAGTGAAATTACTTGTAATATTACTGGTAAATATACCTTATTTCATGATTATTTGATACAATAATAAAATTTATGATATAAAAAGGAAACCAATACGTAAGTAGACTAGAGTAAAATATGTAATAATGAATTTTAACATTTCCAAATATGTTATAAGTTACATTGAACTCCTGACATGAAAAAAATGGAGAGCATTTACAACTCTCTGGGTGATCTAGTTACTTTGAATAAGAGAGCATGATGTAGTGATCCCAAAGGTACAGTACTCTCAAGTGGACTCAACTATAATTAGTTTTCAATTGCAAAATTTAAAACAAAGTTTACTTTGCTAATGTTTTAGTAATTTTAGTTATTAGTTTCAATTCTGAATTTACAGATATACAATTTTAATTAGAAATCAAGATTTAGAATAAAAATAAATCATACCTTGTAATTTTTTGAGCACGGCAACTTCCATTTTGAGCACCTGTTTTGCCTGCTTTGCAGACTCTAACTTGAGAGCCACCAATTCTTTCGTGACTAGATCTAAGCCTTCGTAAATTTCCCCAAATCCACCACCTCCAATTTTTCTTACCTGAAAATAGGGCAAATATTGTTATGTTTATGAGTCTCTAACAATGTTATGTAATAAGAATATCAATTGATATCATTTGAAATACACAACTGACATTATTTAAAATATTGCAATCATTACTTAATAGAAATTTTTCAAGTGAATACAGCAGACTCCTGTACGATGCAGGTGATATATTCTGAATTATAGGAAATCACATTATACAAGACATGCATTATCAGACAATTTTATGCAAGATAAAACTTGTCTCTGAGTTCCAGCACTGATCACATATTGTTAAAGTGATGTATGTTAATTTCAAATGTGATTTTATTGTGTGTACAGTGTTAATTAACTTGTGTTAAAGGTNTTACAGATTACAACAATCGCAACCTGTGAAGCAGGATATACGCATGCAAAATTTAAATATATCAATAACTGGGTACATATGTCACTCTTCCTGCCCACAGCATTGAATGCAGAAAGACAGAAGATTACATTTATAACTTCTTCGATTCCATACCTAAGGACTATTTCATTATGCATCACCAACATTTTTAAGAAATATGGGCTTATTCTTCCTTTAAATCACATATAACCTTGCATAGGTTATTTCCAAGTAAAGTTAATTTCAAATATGATTTTATTGTTTGTAGAATGTTAATTAACTTGTGTTAAAGGTGATTTCTTTTAATAAAGGTAAAAAAAACAGAATACAGGTAACTAAAGTTTTAAAAATATTATATACCATTATTATATATATTATAAGAAGCATTTACTGTGTTAGCCATGCTTACTGAAACAAAAAAAAAAAAAATACCAGAGAAGTCAAGAAGAAAATGTATACCTCTGGATGACAAAATTAAAAATTTGTATGAGTACTAGTCTTAAATTTTTTGTCATATATGAATTTGTGTTATAGGGGAGTGCATTATAGAGGAGTTCACTGTATTTTAGACTATGAAATGGCAATCTGAATATTTTGTATCAATTAATGTTCAGACAATATCCATTCATTTGTTTTATTTTTCATTTAAAATTAATTAAGTTAAAATGTTGAAATTTACATTACAGACAGAAATCATATTTAAAGCAGCTTTTGATTTAAAGAGAGATAATTATAAATACCACTAGTCAATAGATGATATCTGGCATTATAATTGTAAGTTTGAGCATTTTAACTTTGTTAAAACTAAGGAATAGAAGAGATACATCCAAACTGTACCATCATCGGACACATTTTGCTACAGATAACCCAGAGATTATCTTTGTTTGAAAGCCAATTTGTAAACAGACATGGAGTTTTCAATTACAAACTCATCAAATAGTTTTTTTATTTTGCCTAAACTTATCAAAAGCACCTTAAATAAATGTGGAAAATCCTTCGTGTGATGCAGACATTGATCTGTTATCTTGTTTTTTCCCCAGGGCCATCAAAGACACATACACATTCCTCACTTTAAATTTAATCCTGTTTATTTTCTATGTATGGAATTGTCCATAAATTAAATAATGCTATTTTTATACTTTTCAACTGCCAGTCCACCCCTGTAACACTACTTAATGTTATTGTAATACTCGTTACACCCATCCCCAAAATTACATAACACTCCCTTAATTGTACTAAGGGATAATATATTTATGATACAGGGTACCAAATGTTACATTATTTCATTTATTACATGTATAATGTACAAAGCACTGATAAACAGTATATAGTGCTCTATGCAACACTTCAGATACAAAAATGAATTGTTTTGTTACTCAAGGATCGAGACCCTAGCATTATATAACATTTTTGTAAACATCTTTACTCCCCATAATACATCTTAACAGTTACTTGCTACCCACTCACCCATATCTGCATTATGTAATTTACGGACAGCTTCCATCAATCCACACTTTAATTGATATTATTACACACTTCTACTTAAGCCTTCTGTCTTAAAAATTGATAAGCTTCTGATAATCCCTTTCTCTTTATAACTCATAGGCTGCATTTATACAAATGTAAGAAATGCTTGAGAGAGAGAAAAACAGGAGAAGGAAATCCAAGCAAATAAACGTCATGCACATAAACAGGAGTACAGGTAGCCCCCATATAACACGGGAGTTACGTTCCAAAAAATTGCCATGTTATGCAAATCGTGTTATACGAAACAAAGAACTAGTGCGAAAAGGGGGGGTTAGGTTCCAAAAATTAAAAAAACACGCTGTTAAATCCTTATTTAAATTGGATTTATTATTCATTTTTTTCATAGGTAAAATACTTATTTATTATTTAAGTAAATATTTTACCAGAGGATTATTCATCCTATATGATGATCTCAGCATGATCATCAACTGGTAACAGTTTTTGGGTTTGTTCATTAATAGCGGTTGCTCTGCAATGGGAGTGTGCTGCTGTTTGTAGGCATTTAGAAACGATGGTGAAAGAAAGATGGCAGCGCCCACACTATCGACAGTATTGCAATGGAGGAATCTATAATTCTGAAGTCAGCTTTTAGAGGCAAAAGAAGGATCCCAATTGTAAAATTTAACCATTAAATGGATTATTGTTGAAAGAGCGTTCATAGTAGCCACGAAAACAATTAGAATGCTTGCGTGGAGTTATGCAGAGATATAAAAGAATGCACCCTTTATTACATTTCATGTTGTACAAGGGTTTTACCCAATTCCCAAACTGTGTTAGAGTGAACCCGTGCTATAAAAGCACCATGATATATGGAGGAAGTTCCCAATTCTCAAACCGTGTTAGAGTGAATCTGTGCTATAGATGTGCCAAGTTATACAGGGTTACCTGTACTTTTTGAAACTGAAATTAAATTCAAGTACCAGTGTAACTTTTTCCTTTTGAAGAAAAAAGCATAACCAAAAATATATAGTCATTTTGAATTATCATAATTTAATATTTTAATTAATAACCATAATGTAAAATTATTTTAATTAATCTCAAATGATTTCATTGCTTCTAAACTGATACCTATTAATATAAAATTAATCAATTAATTTGAAATATTTCTAAAAACTATTATTCCTGTAACATTTAAATGATTTTTGAAAGATTAATAGATTAATTGATTTTAAATGGCTCTACTGCAACTCCATTTGTTCTAGGACTGGGAAAAGTTTGGTATGGAGCCAAGGGGTAGAGTGGGCCTTTTGTACTTTTTTTTCCTGAACAAATGAAATACATAGAGAATGTTTCTTTATTAATAAATATCAGTCTTACAGGTTTATGTTCTTGGCTCTAACTATTTCCTTAAATTTATCTCTCTAAGATGTTCATTGTAGAGGCCTGTAGGAAGTATGTTCCTGATTGGCATAATGGTTTGGACAGGTATACTTCCTAATAACCTTTTGACAGGCCTCTATTCAGCATGGACACCCTCTGATTTTCAGAGTGTATCCATGCTGAATAACTAGGTTAGTAATATAATCCAATTCCTTCATCTTGTCATTGTTATTGGAAGAGTAGCTGAATGTCTTCTTGATCAGGGCTTTAAATGCTGAAATTTTGAGTAAGACACATGAAACCAATAATTGGTTATAAGATGGTTTCTGATAAACAGAGGTATAAATATTGCAGTCACGGATGGTGAAGTAAAATGTCCAGTAAAATGAACTGTAGTATAATGTTCTTGTTCAATATAGAAATGAAGGCAATAAGGGTTGTTATTTATAGCTGTTAAAAACTGCTGCAGATTGAGTTTCTGATGCCAAATTATGATAATATCAATACACCTGTCATATAGAGTGATGTTTATTTCAAACAATGGGAGGATGTTTTCTAATTGTCATGTAGTAAGTTCACAAAGGCTACTTGATACAGGGCTTCCCATTGGTACACTTCTGCCTTGTAAGTAGGTTTCTCCTTCATACCATAAAAATAACTCAAAAACTGGAAAATGTGTTTGAAGGAACATGCAGTCTTAAAGATTTTATTTTTTGTTTTAGTAAAAAGAACATTAATTTATAGGGGTAAGAACCACTACGAACACCTCAGTTTTTATCTATGCCAGGAAAAAAATTCCCAGCTCCTCTCCCAATAGCTCGGTTCATATCTCATCCATTCATAAGTTTTTGTATCATTTGAATGTCCTATAACAACATTGATTGGCATTTCTACTAGAGTAAACCATTATAAAAATTTCATGTTTTCTTTAATGAAACATTTCAGAATAATCTTTATGTTTTATACTATAAAAACTTTATTTTTAAAACAGAACAGAGTCAAAGAAAAATTCATACCACTTTCCATCTTTCCTTCACAACATGACCTGGTTGTAAAAGATCTTCTGTGGTCATAGTGATGTGAAAACTAAAGAAGTCACTGATATCTTCACAGGAGTCATGTCCATTCTTACTATATCTAAAATAAAATTAGTTAAACATATTTAGAGTTTGGCTAAAAATAAATATTTAAATAAAACAAATTTAAGTTAACGAAATTAATACATTTAAATATTTTGTTAATTCTAAAGCTGGGAACCATCGTCTAAATACTAAAATTTAAACCTTCCTCTCACTTTCCAGCATTCATTGATTAAAATCAAACATTTTTGGCTACCTTCACTGGCTTGAGTCAAGTTAAGCAGATTCAACATCAAATGTCTGTAGCAGGATCAAAGTTCAGAATAATACTGTTTTTATTTGATGCAATTGTCTTTGAATTAAGATATACTACATTTACATAAAGATTAATATAGTTTTAACAAATTAAATGAATAATTATGGATAAAAATATTAAAATGCCTAATAAATAACATAAGTGAAAAACAAAAAAATAATTTAACTTTTTTAGTTTTTCACTTACATTATTTATTAGAAGCATTTTAATATTTTTATCCATAATTATTCATTTAAATTGTAATCATGTAATTAGGCAGAGATCTAACACAGAACACCAATGCACTTAAATGGACGATCTATCCTGTTGTTGTATAAAGGTATTGAGTAAATGCCCGGAAGAGTAGTTTCATCTGCAGGATCTTTAAGTTACTCAGGAATGATAATCACTTCAATCCAGTTTTTTGTTACTGGATTAAGGTGTATTTTGAGTTAATTATAGTAGTACATAAAGTTTTTTGCAGTAATTTAATTTATTCATTTATGTTTAATAAATTAATTTTTAAAATTAAGTTTAATTTTAAATTTGATCTTTAAATTTCAAAAATGGGAAGATGATGTTAATCTACTAACATGCACTCTTGATTACAATGAACAGGAGGCAGCACAAGCAAGTTCTAATTATCAAGAGAATTTTACATTAAATTAAATAGGAATCAAATGGGGATTAGTATCCAATTCAAATTAACAGGAAATTTAATTTACACAAGTTCAAATTAACAAGAGTCTACTTTAGTAAATAATACCAATAATGAGACATACATCAACAAATTTTTTTTTTTTTTTACATTTAGCTTACATTATTATTAAGTCGTTGCTATTTATTAATAATTTATTACCTAATTTAATTATTTAAAAATACTTGTGTACTTTTGAAAAAGATCTGTTCGTATTAAATAGTCTAAAATATTTGCTGTTCATCACCAAATGCTTATGTTGTACAAATACACACCACAATTCTACTGACACTGCAAACCTCTGTGCTATGCAATAATACACCTCAAAGCATTGGTTGGTTGATTGGATTTGGGGTTTTGTGGTACAATGGCCTAGGTAGGCCAAAAAGTGCCAAGTCTAGCCAGTTATGTTGCTGTATACCTTCTTGAGTTTTTTAATACGTCATAGTTGTTCTGTTTTATGTTCTATAGTTCTGTATATAAGTTTATTGCCTTTAGATACACCATTAGATAGGTTAAATTTGTCTGTTCTCATCTAGTATATTGCATAGAGCCTGGTCATTTGAAGATATTTGTTGTCAAAGGTAGCATTCCATGGCTGTTTTGTACTAGGGGGATATTAGTAATATATATCAGGTGGTAAGTTGGTGTGTGGCAAGTTGAACACATTGTTTAGGTATTCCTTGTTATTAGATAGTTATGTGTTAGTCTTGTGTGTCCAGTTCTCAATTGGGCTAATACTATTTCTTCTTTCTGATTTTTGCTAGTTGTCCATCTTATTAACTCTGGTTTTATAGTGTGTAGTTTATTGTTGAGTTATTTGTCCCAGTCCTCTTGCTATTTGTTATATATACTTGTTGATACAGCTGTATAGGTCTTTATAGTATGGTCTAAAAGTTCTTGATTGGTTCCTGTTTTCTTGTTTTGCAAGTTTGTCTACTGTACAATCACCATGATATTACTGGTATACAATTAAATAAATAAGCAATTACCTATAAACCAGCAATTAATTCTCATTTAAACAAACGTTTTCATCCATTTTTAACCATTGTCAGTTTCAATGTATTGGAATGTTTGTTAAAGAACATAAATTCCAAAATTTAAAAAGTTGTACATCATGAAGATATGTACATGCTCAATGTCGCATTTAAAAAATTAGTCTTCCAACTGGCTTCCAGTTTTAAAAATACAAAGTTTATATAAAAAATTATTTGTCTACTGTTTCATTCCCTTGGAGTCCTGTATGTCCAGGCAGTCAATAGAAGACTATTATATTTCCTGCATGTTTGAGACGTTGGAGTATGCTATTGTCGGATGATGTATTATCCTACAACTGTTGATTGCCTGTAGTGCACTGCATGAGTCTGTATATATTATAATCTGTCTGTTTTTGTGTCTTTGTATATGTTGGAGAACCATGAAGATTGCAAACAGCTCTACAGTATAGACTGTTGTTTCTGCAGGAAGTCTCAATGCAGACAAAAGCTGCTCCTACTGTTGTTGATTTTGAACCATCTGTATATCTGGTATTGTATGACTATATTGAGATTGGTGTTCTTTGAATAGTTGTTGGGAAACAGAATTTGGAATAGTTGCTTTTGGGTAGCTCTAACAATGTAAGTCAAAATGAATATCTGCAGCTAGATAGAGCCATAATGGTTATTGAGAGTCAACAGACTTGGAAATATTGCTTATATGCTTAAAATGTCTACTAAAGTACATAGCTGCTTAGATCTGACAGAGTATCATTTTTTATTTAATCCTTAACACTTTTGCAATTGCAATTCATTTAATTTTTTTGACCTCGTATAGTAGTTGGATTTTTTAATATTTAAATAACGTAAAAATTATCTGTCTTTTGACTTTTAAAGAAAGCATATGCAGGCTTCATTCAATTCATATTTTCTTTCTTCACAAAAGTATGGATTTAGCTAGGCTCACATGGAACAGCAAAATAATGCAGGATGGGATCTGACACATCTGGGAAGCCCATTTCATGTGGATTTTTTCATGTGGGTTTTTTCAATCATTTGGATTCATTCTCAGGTCTCATCATACTGGTAGGCAGACATCTTTCTTAACCAACCCTCATACACTCACATGTATGCAGGTATATACAGTGGGTGATCAGTTAACGAACATAATCAGTTCCAAGACTTTGTTTGTTAACCAATTATCGATTTACCTTAGGTTTTTATGGGAATTTGATTAATTCATTTCAGAGACTCCAAAAAATATATACAGGCAACACCCATATAACACGGGAGTTACGTTCCAAAAAATTGCCATGTTATGCGAATTGTGTTATACGAAACAAAGAACTAGTGCAAAAGAGGGGTTAGGTTCCAAAAATTAAAAAACATGCTGTAAAATCCTTATTTAAATCGGATTTATTATTCATTTTTTTCATAGGTAAAATACTTATTTATTATTTAAGTAAATGTTTTACCAGAGGATTATTTATTTTATATGATGATCTCAGCATGATCATCATCAACTGGTAACAATTTTTGGGTGCATTCGTTAATAGTGGTCACTCTGCAACGAGAGTGCGCTGCTGTTTGTAGGCATTTAGGAACAACAGTGAAAGAAAAATGGCGGAGCCCACACTATCGATAGTATTGCGATGGAGGATCTATAATTCTAAAATGAGCTTTTAGAGGCAAAAGAAGAGTCCCAATTATAAAATTTAACCATTAAATAGATTATTTGTTGAAAGAGAATTCAAAGTAGCCACGAAAACAATTAGAATGCTTGCGTGGAGTTACACGGAGGTATAAAAGAATGCACCCTTTATTACATTTCATGTTTTACAAGGGTTTTACCCAATTCCCGAACTGTGTTAGAGTGAATCCATGCTATAGAAGTGCTGTGTTATACGGGGTTACCTGTATATACTTTTTTACTACATTTATTTATATGTAATAGTAAAAATACATATATGAGCAGTCTTGCATTTTTATTAGTCATGTTTTTTCCATTTGTGGAGGTTAAAGAATCTGTCCAATGTCGATTGCTTTTCTCTCTTCTTCAGGATTTTTCAGAAGTAATTAATAGCATTGTAATTGTAGAAATCCCAAGCCTCAACCTGGTTTGGATGCTATTCTAAGACCATTGTTCTGACATCCTCCCACTTCTTCAACAGACCTTTAGTAGCAGATGTTGACATTGGTCCTCTTTTGTCTTCCTCTTTTTCAAAAAAAAAAAAAAAACACATTTTGTCAAGTTTCTTGGTATTCTTCATTTGAGAGTTCTCAGAGTTCTTCTGTCGTCAGATCAGTTTCACATTCCATTATGAGCTCTAAAATGCCCTTAATTTCTCAGATGTGATTTTCATTACTCCATCAGTAGCTTAAGACTTCTTGATATATCTTTCATAGCTAAGATTGTGTCTACTGTAGACCTCTTCAAGCTATACTGCCTAGCAACATCAGACATCTTGTGCCCACTTTCTACCTTGGCTTCATCCCTTACTTGGTTTCTACGGTGAGCACTGTTCTTGACACTCCACTCTTTATGCTCCATAATATTACCAATTTCTTTTTTAAAGAAAAAGTTCAGAAAAGCACTTACCAAAATTCAGAGAACAGAAATCAACTAGCCCACAAAAAATTATTTAAATGCAAGGCCTGGATGAAATTTGGTATTAAAATGTTAACAAATATCCGATTGGACAGTTAAACTTTCACCTTTCGTAAATAAACCCCAATGCAAAACTTAATGAGTGCCTGTCCGACAGTCTTGCAAATACTATAAAAAATTTTTTGTCAGAAAGGTAAACAAAAAGCTGGAATTATAAGGGAGAGTTTCAAAATTCGGAGAAATACTGTCTGATCAGTATCAGGTTGAGCATCAATGTTGATATCTCCTATGCTCCAAAAAGTTTTGAATTGTAACCTGAAGATAAGGGAAAATCAATTGGTATTCGTTATTTTGAGTTGCTTCTTTTTATGTTTGTTCAGTAAAGTGTTTGTTATTCGAACATGTGTTCGTTGTCCGATCATAAAAATCTTTCGCGAAAGTGTTCATTATCCAATTTGTTCGCTATCCGAACTGTTCATTAACC